GGTGTAGGTATAGCATTGAGTCGTGGGGCAGAACTAGCTCTCCTAGACTGGATCCCTGTAGGTAGTCGCTTGTGCGCCGTCCAACTGAACGGGACAGTAAGGACTCGGAAAGATAGGGACACCAGTCGTCGCATCTGCCTATGCCCCCACTGACTGCAGTTCAGACGAGGTGATAGATGAGTATTACAGAAAGCTTTCGAACCTCCTGAAAAACGTCAGGCGCTCTGATGTAGTAATAATGGCTGGTGACTTTAATGCTCAAGTAGGTAGACTAAGTGAGCAGTAAAGACACCTAGGTCGATGTTATGATGTGGCCAGACCAAAACATGGCAGAAATTCATGAAGTCACTGACAAGTGGACTGAGTCATGTTGGTAGATGTAGGCTATCTAGTTGGGATCCGCGAGAATAATAATATCTTCTAACCCTAGTCTTCTTCATTACCATTAATACCTCTACTATCTTTATCACTATGGGATTTGATTTGACATTTGAGTCTCTGTGCCAATGTGGTATGGCAACATGGACTTGTGTACATACGTACGAAGTCCTACGTTGCAAATAAATGACTGACGTTATGATGTCGCGGCTCAGAGAACAGACAATGGCGTCCGTCTGTTGCAACTATGCTAAGATAACCGCCTATTTCTAGCAAACACTAACTTTAGGCATAGTGAAAAACATCTGTTGAACTGGCGACCCCCGAAGTCTTCTCAATGATGGACCGAACTTGATCACATCGCCATCAGACACCGATGGAGGGGTTCGATAGAGGACTGTCGATCGTTCTTGGGCACATGTTTTGATTCAGATAATGCCCTAGTGCGAGCGTGTATTTGTCTGAGGCTTACTAGACGTAGGAAAGACACCGAAAGAAACCTCTTAGGGTTCTACTTAATGATAATGAAGCTAAGAATATATTCCAGGAACAACTAGAAAGAGAGTTAGGCAACCATGTAAGTGATTCCCATCCGGAGGTAGCTTGGAATGTAAATCAAACAAGCTGTGGAAACAGCATTGATATTTTCTAGTAAAGTAAACCATAAGCCTAGGATGAAGCCTTGGCTCTCTGTAGCATCTACAGAACTGACAGAGGCTCGAAAACGCATCCCACTTGGATCTGAACATGATGAAGAGCGAAGTCAGCTTAGGCGCAGGCTGAAAAAAAGCCTACGTAACGACCGTGAACAGTTGTGGGTGGCGAAAGCAAAAGCGATGGAAAAGGAAGCGGCGATAGGCATCAACAGACAGTTTTATCGGCTTATCAAGGCAACTAGTATCAGGAAACCAAATGTGAGTGAGACTATTTTGGAAAAGGTTGGTCATATTTTCCATGCTCAATCTAGGAGACTGGACCGATGGATAGAACACTTTAGGGATCAGTTCAACTGGCCTCGAGCCACTCTTCCGGTTACTCACGATCTCCTGTCATCCTGAATGGCAAATCGATTATAGTCCTCTTAGTCTTTATGCAGTTGAGAAAGCGTTAAGAAATCTGAAGCGAGAGCGGGCTGCAGGACCTGATAGACTGACTCCGGAGATATTTGAGGATGGTGGTCCAGTTTAAGCAGCTAGGTTGACTCAGATCTTAAGTAGAATGTGGAAATTGAACATAATCCCATCCAAGTGGTCCCAATCTTTAAGAAAGGACACAATTCTTCTTGTGACAATCACAGGGGAATATGTCTAACTAATATAGAATCTAAAATATTGGCGTCCTACAACAGTTGTCTTCCTGGACCTTAAGGCTGCATCCGACTCGGTGAATCGTCAGGTTTTATGGAGGGGTCTGTCATTGAAAGGTGTACCAATGAAGTACATTACCCTTATACAAGCTCTCTACACGAACACCATTGGTTGAGTGAGAGCTTATGGCGAACTGTCACCGGAACTCTTCACTTCAAGTGATGTCCGTCAGGGATGTCCACTCTATCCATTCTTGTATGATTTTATCATAGACAGGTTCCTACATATAACCTTATCCTCGTTTGAATTTTCAGTAGTAACACTTCTACCAGGAGGCAAGCTAATCGTCTTCTGAATACCCTCAGCAACAATGCAGGCATGTTCGGGATGCGGTTTTCCCCGTCGAAATGCAAAATGTTGCTTCAAGATTGGGTTGCATCGGCACCTGAACTAGTGTTAAGCACTGAAGCAGTCAAGCGTGTAGACCGCTTCATTTATTTTGGGAGTCTTATCAGTGCTTATGGTTTGGTGACTGACGAAATCTCAGCTCGGATACAGAAAGCTTTATTGGCTTTCGCCAATTTACGACATAAGCTCTCACTCGACCGAATGCATTCGAGTAGAGAGCTTGTATAAGGTAATGTACTTCTTTGGTACAGTTTTTAATAGCAGGCACTGCCACAAAAGCTCACGTTCGACAGAGTCGAATGCCGCTCTAAGGTCGATAAACACTACTATTGTGGGGCGTCTGAACGTGTTCCTATGCTCTAGGTCCTGACGTAGTGTGAATATCTGGTCTATACATCAACGTCCAGGTCGACAATTAGCCTGGTTTTCTCGAGTCTGCTCTTCACGAGTAACAATGTTGTGGCCGTCACGGAAAAATTAGTTTCATTAATATAGTTTCTAAAATGTAAGCCTCACTAATACTTCGACAACGCCTACAGCCCCGCTGTGGCTACTGCCGGTCCCAAGCCCGGGACAAGGACGACTGGGCTTGAGGTTGGCGCTAAACAACGCTAACCGGAAAACATGATTCAGGCCATTTTCACTCTGCCTTGGGAGTCAGGTCTTCTTACAGAAGCCTCGTGATGAAAGCCGAGTTCCCTCAAAAGTCACGATACCGATGCCCCTTCTCACAACCAGAGCAACTATTCTTTCAGGTGGAAAGATTATTACAAGTTGCTGCAGAGATGAGAAGATACAACTTGTAGGTGCTTGGAATCAGTGAAACACATTGGACGCAAGTCGGACAACTGAGACTAGCTTCAGAAGAGCTGCGGTTATACTCCGGCCGTGAAGAAAACGCCTCACACACTCAACAAGTTACACTGGTGCAACAAGCAAGTGAAGAATAGCATCAGAGCCGATTAACGAAAACATGCGGAAGATCTAGCAAGGAAGGTGAACAAGACTGTAAGAGTAGGAAACCTGAGACAATTATACGATACAACAAAGAAGCTCGCTGGAAATTATCGTAAACCAGAACGACCGGTGAAAAGCAAGCGAGGCAAAGTAATCAGCAACACTGAAGAACACAGAAACAGGTGTGTAGAGCATTTTGAGGAACTCTTGGATCGAACAGCTTCACTGAACACACCCAACATACAAGCAGCATTCACCAACCTCCCAATCGATGTTGGCCCACCAACGATTGAAGGGATCAGCATGACCAGCGGACAAATTAAGAGCGGCAAAGCAGCAGGACAAGAGAGCATTCCAGCAGAGGCAAGGAAAGCAGACGTGGCATCAACTGCAAAACGTTCCACATTCTCTCCACCAATATTTTGGATGAAGAACAAGTACCAACAGACTGGAGAGGAGGACACCTAATCAAAATATTAAAGAAAGGCGATCTCAACTAGTTTGAGAACTACAGAGGCATCACTCTTCTCTCAAAACCAGGAAAGATCTTCAACAGGGTATTGTTAAATAGAATGACGGATTTCGTAGACGCCCAACTTCAAGATCAACAGGCTGGATTTCGTAAGGGTCGATCGAGTACTGACAAAAGCACAACATTACTGATCATCGTGGAACAATCAATTGAATGGAACTCACCAGTCTACATAAACTTCACTGAATACGAGAAAGCATTGGATAGTGTAGGCAGGATATCGTGATGACCACGCCGAGCTATGTTGGCTGGGACGTAAGTTCCTGAAGTGCCAATCACGGTTGGATGACCATAAGGATTTATGAGCCCTAAGTGAAGTTATGCTAAATTAATATAGTATACATTTCAAGAGTTACTTAATTTGAGTAACTAAAATAACACAGGCTGAGTGTCAATCTTAAATATTTGCTTTTTAGAAGATAACTCTGGATACGTTAATTACCTAATTGACTGGCATACAACAACCACACCTATTAAGTGGAAGGAACCATGTGTTACACGCGAGATAAGGGGTATACAGTAGCCAGTATTGTTACGCAGCGTGTCTCATTAAACTTAAGTACAAACAGCAAATAAAATAAACACGAGCTAGGTTCATACATGAATTGCCCGAGGCTGGAACTTACGATATCCTACTCATTACTCAAACTCCGACGCTGCACTTCCGGACATGTGACTGAATCACATATAATAAGGAACGGACATACAAGGTTATCACTAAGAACAATAACAGAACCAACAACACAAATCTTCTCACGGCCAGGAGCGATTATGAGACGCCGCGCATCGGATCAAACATAGTCACCACCAGGAACTTTGTATGGAGCAGAATACTGACATTCTGCTGAAAGGTTACCAACACACCACAAACCAGAAATTGTTGAAGTTTCAGAAGCATTATTACCCGCAACGGAGAGGATTAGGCGTTAACATCAATTCTAATCGGACAATGACCAAAGACCGACGTTGAAGTGAATGAAAAAATTCGTGACTGAACAACGTCCCACTTGGTCTAAAGTTTTTACGTTAAATAACCGTTTCAGCCGAACCCAACAGCGACAGATGATGTCGATGCAAGTCGATATTCATTGGCTTCAACTTCGTATGTTAGATAGTCAGCGCTCAGTTTGGAGTTACATCGAGTTTACCTGACGTGATAAAGCCACCCTTCGAACATACAGAAGAGATTGATGTTCTCTTGTTTCAACAGACATCAGTCAAAATATCATCACATATACTTGGAAAACACCCACCTGAAGTATGCTAGCTCATAATTCAACATACTGCACCTAGCTGTGATTTTCTTCGAAGTCATGGCAAACATGGCTACTCAGGTCGGTTTAGAACGAAGACTAATTTAAGATCCTCATTCTTATTTAATAAGCTGTCAACAATCACATTTCACATATAGCGATCAACCGCGTTTGAAATGCTTAAATGCCTTATGCATAAAAATCGCAGTTCTTGACGGAATAACAGATGCATTAGCTAACTATGGTCTATATCTAACATGAACCAACGAACATTGCAACACAGACAGACAACGCGTTTAATGGAGAAAGCGAGCAATTAGTCGGGCACTAAAAAGTATCTACTCTTCCATCTAAAACAGACGATACCTAGGTCGACTACAGCAGTCATTAAATTATTTTACCGTTTTTCAATTAAATACTTTATTTATAGGTATATAGAGCGGTTAGGTAATATATCGGGCTAATCAGGAACGATACAGCAAAGGACATTCGTGCTAACAGATGATTAGCCAACAAGTTCATTTACTACGTTGACCCGATTTACTAGTAACTCAATGAAAAAAAAGTATTTCTACCATAATTTTATTGCAGGAAATTACGATTATGCAACCTTTGCGCGGCCTGGACACTTTTTCAAAGGACCCTAAAAGTAGAACGTAACATTAATATATTGAAAGCCTACCATAGTTGCTTGTTTCTCAGCACGAGTCTGGAACCGACCGTGACCAAACTTGGATGATGTGTCAATAAACTTAAGGACTATCTTTTCCTTTGATCGTGGTTTGACTTGTGGAATTAATGTTTTTCGAAGCGTAATAACACGCTTTCTTGGACCCATGCAGCAACCCTTAATCATGACATAATCGTTCCTAACTTCACCGTAATGTGGGAAACCACCCATTGGTGTGATATTTTTAGCTGTCAAATCGAATTCAGTTGACGCATTGCCTTTAGGTTTTGGAACTGTATTTTTGTCTTTATCGTCCTTAGCGGCTTCAGCCTTCGCAACTTCCAGCTGTGCTTGTAAACCTGCCAGAATAAGAATTATGTATAACTTACCCATCCCAATCCTGTAAATTTTTTTATTCAACTCCGTCCTGTGGAAGTAACCCTTCTGTCCAGCCCTAGCAACTGACCTCGCAACACGGGCAGGATGCCAAGCTCCAATACAGGCTACTTTGCGTAAACCTTTGTGGGTTTTTCGAGGGAGTTTCTTGGTGTGCCAGCGGGAAGTAACACCTTTGAAGCCTTTACCTTTAGTAACACCTATAACATCGATCATCTCATCTTGAGAAAACACGTTTGAAACAGGTATCTGCTTTTCGAAGTGCTGACGAATCCAATCAACCTTCTGTGATATGGTTCCACCATTTACCTGGATTTCCATAACATGTGCCTTTTTCTGGCGATGTTTCATCAGACGCATCTAACAGCGTGTATAGGGTATTAAGTAGCCTTACCTGTGTATGCGCAATGGCTCGGACGACTGTACAGTACTTCTTAATCTTCTTCAGATCACGATTTATTTGCGCAAGACCTGCTTCATCTGCCCACTTTTTGGAAGCCTTAGTGAAAGCCTTCTTTTTGGATTTGCACCAATCTTTGTAAAATCGACGCCTACACTCCTCGGTCAGATGTTCTGCCCAGACAGTTTTGAAAGTCCTTAATCCCTTAGCAGTAGGCGCGTATCCAACCATACCAACAATCACCATAGGAGGACATTCCATTATGGTTACTGGTTCGACGACCTCACGCTTATGAACCTTCGATCCAGGTCGATCAACTTCACGAACTATGTGAGTCATTCCAGCCTTATATCCCATGAAAGCAGTCAGGTGTGGTGGGAGAGATCTTCGGTCTCTAGGGAAGGCCTTGCATTTACCTCGAATGCGCCGGCAACGCTTCTTAGGTGTAAATCCGAGAGAACCATGACGGGGAGCAGAGAATTTCCTGTGTGACTATGAATGGATGAAGCGACTACAGAAACAACCTACCATGTCCTGAACACGCTATTTGTGAGCGCCTCTGGGCAAACAAAAACAAAACAGTTTAGGATTGAATTTGTTCAATGGAGGAAGTTTCATGTCGAAAGAGTTCGATAGTTTTAGAGCCATTCCGTTAGTTATTAAAAATTTTTTAGATCTTTAAAGTGCTCATTTAGGACATTTTTGCTGTACTTTTTTCAGTGCACCTAAAACGTGCATCGAAAATTCTTCGGTTAAATAGCTCGATTCAAGAAATCCAATTATGAGTTAACCCTCTATCCCACGTGCTTATGGACTGCACGCCGGGAAGAATGACAAAATAACTCCTGATAGGTTTCCTTGTACTCCAAATTTATTTGTCATCCATTGAAGTACTAACAATAACATATTTCTGACATAGCATGTACATACCATTTTACAGACAAGATCTATTCGATTCCATGATATTTTCAACAAGTGATCATTGATTGGGTGAGTGCCCGGCAGAGTCCTCAGGTGGTATTCAAAATTTTAGAGTGATTCACAAGACGGTGTATAGAGAGATTTACTTTCAGTGTAGTTCTGTAGTGGAACAAATTGGTAAGTTTATGTTCGTAAGAAGGTGCTTGGTATAAGCTAGGACCCTGACGAACTCGTATGGATGGTGTATGTTGAGTGTAAGAAGTTCCATGGTGTTTCACTACTAGTTCGATTATGAAACACATACACATTTTGAAACACATATTCCAAGGTGTGTCTCGTTAACTTATTTCCCATCTAAACCAGTCACAGTTCAAAAGAAACATTATACTACTTCCTTTCAGTAAAACTGAGACTCGATATTTTTCAATACATCCTAGAATGATTTCACTACACTGAACTTTTTAATTACGTGTAAGATAGTACGGATGCTGTTTTCAGAGTTCTTTAAGGGTCACAACAAATTATGACTCGATTTGGCTTGTTCATCATCCCTGAATAGATCAGATGAGCCGTTATATTTTCGCATAATGTATCTATAAATATAGTAATTCTGATGGAACAGATCTTAATAACGTGTATACTGGAGCTACCAGTACCTGGCCCACGAGGGAGATTATAATCCGTTTGTGAGTGCCTGCTTTTCAAGCCTCTTCTTACAGCTGTCCACCTCGTCTGGGAGGATATTCCAAGTTGCAACGACTCTTAATGAGAAAATGTGTGCACGAACTTGGATGTTCACTCTTTGATGAGTAGTTTGAAGAGTGAAATAAATCTTCGGAATCCCAACCTCGTAATAATATGGAAAAACGTACAATATGATACAGAAACAGTATGCTAAAAGTAAAATCTCATATCCTATCAAATACCTTGGTAACCAATCAGATCGTACTCTATAGATAGAACATACATCATTTGCGGTATTACTGTATGAATACCAAGCTTCGTTCCGCGCTTTACCTCGTTTGTTTTCCAAAAGAAATTAGTTATTATTGTCTGAAATGAACCAGAATATCTCCTTTTTAATTCACATGTACTTCATATCATGAGAGCTGACCTGAATTCTTCATCGTTTTTCATCAGAGAGAAATGTGGTGTGTTGAGTACATTGTATGATTCCTTGTTCTCAAAAGTTTTTTCGTAATTTCATATCATAATAACATTGCAATTATCTTCAGTTTTAACACGACTTCCATACTGTTTGCATATCACTCTTACTACTTTTGTTTATACACTTTTAGGTTCCTCTGTGCTAGTAATGTGCTAGTAATTTGTGAATGCAACTGAAATTATGTAGTATCGAGGTCCTGGAATTTTGTAGCACGGCAGTAACATGTTTTCGTCTAGACCACTGAATAACCTTAAACAATTCTCAGAAATACCTTCTTCCTATATGAGTCAAATTTACTTACTTACTTTAGTTTCGCCTGTTACCCCCAATGGAGCATAGGCCGCCCACCAGTTTTCGCCAACCAACTCTATCCTGGGCTTCCCTCTCCAGTTCTGTCCAATGTTTGTTCATTCCTCTCATGTCTTTCTCTATTTCTCGGCGTAGTGTGTTCCTTGGCCTTCCTCTTTTCCTTTTGCCTTGAGGGTTCCATGTGAGGGCTTGTCTCGTGACGCAGTTGGGTGCTTTTCGTAGTGTGTGTCCTATCCACTTCCACCGCTTCTTCCTGATTTCCTCCTCCACTGGAATCTGACTTGTTCTCTCCCACAGTTCGTTGTTGCTGATGGTGTCTGGCGAACGAATACGAAGTATTTTGCGTAGAGAACTGTTCATAAACACTTGTATCTTCTGGATGATGCCTCTCGTAGTTTTCCAAGTTTCCGCTCCATACAGTAGAACTGTCTTCACATTTGTATTGAAAATCCTGATTTTGGTTTTGGTTGAAAGTTGTTTGGAGTTTCAGATATTTTTCAACTGTAGAAATGCAGCCCTTGCTTTTCCAATCCGTGCCCTCACATCTGCATCGGATCCACCTGTCTCGTCGATGATGCTGCCCAGATATGTAAAGGTGTTAATGTCCTCCAAGGCATCTCCATCAAGAGTGATTTGGTTGGTGCGTCGGAGAATTTCGCTTTTTCCTTTATGTATGTTGAGACCGACTGCTGCAGAGGCTGCTGCTACACTGGTCGTCTTCGCTTGCATTTGTTGTTGCGTATGCGATAGAAGAGCCAGGTCATCTGCGAAGTCCAGATCGTCCAGCTGCGTCCTAACTGTCCAGTTGATACCGTGCTTCCCTCCAGATGTCGACGTCTTCATAATCCAGTCGATCACCAGGAGAAAGAGAAATGGTGAGAGTAAGCAACCTTGCCTGACACCGGTCTTCACCTCAAAAGAGTCTGTCAGCTGACCTCCGTGCACGATTTTGCAGTTGAATCCATCATAAGAATTCCGTATGATGTTGACTATTTTCTCAGGCACACCGTAGTGTCGAAGAAGCCTCCACAGTGTTTTCCTATCCACGCTATCGAATGCTTTCTCGTAGTCGATGAAGTTGATGTAGAGTGGTGAGTTCCATTCAATTGATTGTTCCACAATGATCCGTAATGTAGCAATTTGGTCAGTACATGATCGATCCTTACGAAATCCGGTCTGTTGATCTCGAAGTTGGACGTCTACGAAGTCCTTCATTCTGTTTAACAAGACCCTGTTGAAGACTTTGCCTGGTATTGAAAGAAGAGTGATGCCTCCATAGTTCTCACACTTGCTGAGATCACCTTTCTTTAGTATTTTGATCAGGTATCCTTCTTTCCAATCTGATGGTACTTGTTCCTCATCCCAAATCTTCTTGAAGAGAATGTGAAATATTTTCACATTTGCTTCTACATCTTCTTTCATTTCCTCTACTGGAATGTTGTCTGGTCCTGCTGCTTTGCCGCTCTTGATTTGTCTGATGGCCATACTGATCTCAATTGTGGGTGCGCCAATATTAATTGGGAGGTCCGTGGATGCTGCTTCGATGTTGGGTGTGTTCAGTGGAGCTGGTCGATTCAATAGTTCCTTGAAGTGCTCTACCCACCTATTTCGCTGTTCTTCAGTGTTGCTGATTACTTTGCCTTCCTTACTTTTCACTGGTCGTTCTGGTTTACGATAGTTCCCGGCGAGCTTCTTTGTAGTTTCGTACAATTGTCTCAGGTTTCCTTCTCTTGCAGCCTTTTCCGCCGTCATTGCTAGATCTTCCACATATTTTCGTTTGTCAGCTCTGGTGCTCTTCTTCACTTTCCTGTTTGCTTCTGTGTATGCAGCTTGTGCCTTGACTTTCTCTGCTCTTGTTCGGCTGACATTGATTGCTGCCTTCTTGTTCCTCCTTTCTTCAATTTTTGCGAGAGTATCAACAGAGATCCATTCCTTGTGATGGTACTTCTTGTGACCCAGAACTTCGTGATATGTTGAAGTGATTGCCTCCTTAATCCCTTTCCAATTGTTCTCCAATGTTGTGTCCTCTCCAACCTCGTAATAATATGGAAAAACGTACAATATGATACAGAAACAGTATGCTAAAAGTAAAATCTCATATCCTATCAAATACCTTGGTAACCAATCAGATCGTACTCTATAGATAGAACATACATCATTTGCGGTATTACTGTATGAATACCAAGCTTCGTTCCGCGCTTTACCTCGTTTGTTTTCCAAAAGAAATTAGTTATTATTGTCTGAAATGAACCAGAATATCTCCTTTTTAATTCACATGTACTTCATATCATGAGAGCTGACCTGAATTCTTCATCGTTTTTCATCAGAGAGAAATGTGGTGTGTTGAGTACATTGTATGATTCCTTGTTCTCAAAAGTTTTTTCGTAATTTCATATCATAATAACATTGCAATTATCTTCAGTTTTAACACGACTTCCATACTGTTTGCATATCACTCTTACTACTTTTGTTTATACACTTTTAGGTTCCTCTGTGCTAGTAATGTGCTAGTAATTTGTGAATGCAACTGAAATTATGTAGTATCGAGGTCCTGGAATTTTGTAGCACGGCAGTAACATGTTTTCGTCTAGACCACTGAATAACCTTAAACAATTCTCAGAAATACCTTCTTCCTATATGAGTCAAATTTACTTACTTACTTTAGTTTCGCCTGTTACCCCCAATGGAGCATAGGCCGCCCACCAGTTTTCGCCAACCAACTCTATCCTGGGCTTCCCTCTCCAGTTCTGTCCAATGTTTGTTCATTCCTCTCATGTCTTTCTCTATTTCTCGGCGTAGTGTGTTCCTTGGCCTTCCTCTTTTCCTTTTGCCTTGAGGGTTCCATGTGAGGGCTTGTCTCGTGACGCAGTTGGGTGCTTTTCGTAGTGTGTGTCCTATCCACTTCCACCGCTTCTTCCTGATTTCCTCCTCCACTGGAATCTGACTTGTTCTCTCCCACAGTTCGTTGTTGCTGATGGTGTCTGGCGAACGAATACGAAGTATTTTGCGTAGAGAACTGTTCATAAACACTTGTATCTTCTGGATGATGCCTCTCGTAGTTTTCCAAGTTTCCGCTCCATACAGTAGAACTGTCTTCACATTTGTATTGAAAATCCTGATTTTGGTTTTGGTTGAAAGTTGTTTGGAGTTTCAGATATTTTTCAACTGTAGAAATGCAGCCCTTGCTTTTCCAATCCGTGCCCTCACATCTGCATCGGATCCACCTGTCTCGTCGATGATGCTGCCCAGATATGTAAAGGTGTTAATGTCCTCCAAGGCATCTCCATCAAGAGTGATTTGGTTGGTGCGTCGGAGAATTTCGCTTTTTCCTTTATGTATGTTGAGACCGACTGCTGCAGAGGCTGCTGCTACACTGGTCGTCTTCGCTTGCATTTGTTGTTGCGTATGCGATAGAAGAGCCAGGTCATCTGCGAAGTCCAGATCGTCCAGCTGCGTCCTAACTGTCCAGTTGATACCGTGCTTCCCTCCAGATGTCGACGTCTTCATAATCCAGTCGATCACCAGGAGAAAGAGAAATGGTGAGAGTAAGCAACCTTGCCTGACACCGGTCTTCACCTCAAAAGAGTCTGTCAGCTGACCTCCGTGCACGATTTTGCAGTTGAATCCATCATAAGAATTCCGTATGATGTTGACTATTTTCTCAGGCACACCGTAGTGTCGAAGAAGCCTCCACAGTGTTTTCCTATCCACGCTATCGAATGCTTTCTCGTAGTCGATGAAGTTGATGTAGAGTGGTGAGTTCCATTCAATTGATTGTTCCACAATGATCCGTAATGTAGCAATTTGGTCAGTACATGATCGATCCTTACGAAATCCGGTCTGTTGATCTCGAAGTTGGACGTCTACGAAGTCCTTCATTCTGTTTAACAAGACCCTGTTGAAGACTTTGCCTGGTATTGAAAGAAGAGTGATGCCTCCATAGTTCTCACACTTGCTGAGATCACCTTTCTTTAGTATTTTGATCAGGTATCCTTCTTTCCAATCTGATGGTACTTGTTCCTCATCCCAAATCTTCTTGAAGAGAATGTGAAATATTTTCACATTTGCTTCTACATCTTCTTTCATTTCCTCTACTGGAATGTTGTCTGGTCCTGCTGCTTTGCCGCTCTTGATTTGTCTGATGGCCATACTGATCTCAATTGTGGGTGCGCCAATATTAATTGGGAGGTCCGTGGATGCTGCTTCGATGTTGGGTGTGTTCAGTGGAGCTGGTCGATTCAATAGTTCCTTGAAGTGCTCTACCCACCTATTTCGCTGTTCTTCAGTGTTGCTGATTACTTTGCCTTCCTTACTTTTCACTGGTCGTTCTGGTTTACGATAGTTCCCGGCGAGCTTCTTTGTAGTTTCGTACAATTGTCTCAGGTTTCCTTCTCTTGCAGCCTTTTCCGCCGTCATTGCTAGATCTTCCACATATTTTCGTTTGTCAGCTCTGGTGCTCTTCTTCACTTTCCTGTTTGCTTCTGTGTATGCAGCTTGTGCCTTGACTTTCTCTGCTCTTGTTCGGCTGACATTGATTGCTGCCTTCTTGTTCCTCCTTTCTTCAATTTTTGCGAGAGTATCAACAGAGATCCATTCCTTGTGATGGTACTTCTTGTGACCCAGAACTTCGTGATATGTTGAAGTGATTGCCTCCTTAATCCCTTTCCAATTGTTCTCCAATGTTGTGTCCTCTCCATTGAGTAGATCCTGAAAGGCCTGGAACCTATTGGTGAGGGCTATCCTCAATTCGTTGAGCTTTACAGCATCCCGAAGAAAGGCTGTAGTAAACTTCTGTGATGTTGTCTGTCCCGTTGTCCAGTGCTTCTTTAGTTTCAGTTTCATTTTGGCGATCAGCAAATGGTGATCTGAGGATATATCAGCTCCTCTCTTGGTTCTCACATCCTCCATAGTCCTTCTGCACGTATATTGGCAGGTGTTAATGCCTTTTAAATACAGTCTACTTCTTAATCCCCGGATTAATCTCAAATACGAGACAAAATTTTTGACGCTTAAAAACACGAAAGTTATCGTTTACCATAAGCAAATATAGCAAAGCACAAAACCTCAGGAACATAATGCAACCCAAACAGACATGCGGCATAAATAACTAGCTAATAAAGCAGTTGTATCGGAAGTAACTCTTCGAAGTGTATTATCCAACCACAAAGCGAGCAGGAAAACGGATTGTGATGTAACATATTTACAATGACAACAGGTAATGTACCCACACCCTTGTCAGGGCTTCCTATATGTCCACTTAACGTGATAGTGATTAGTAATTAGAACTGACATCCCTACGAAGCAACTTTAATAGCCGTAACTGAAACCTGGAATTAAACCCGACTTTTGCTTAAAAATGGATGTTTTAGATTTTAGTAAACTTTTCGTCTTTATTTCAAGTACCCAGACCAAAATACAGTAAATTATCTGTCCTCAATCTATTATATCACATGGAACCCTCTAAGTATTGTTCCTTCTAAATTTAAGTTGGGCCCTCTTGGAAATTTTAACCAGATATTTACAATTTGGGCTATTATCTCTTAGTGTATTACGCTGAATATATCCTATCGTGGAACCTAACCTACGGAAAGTTATATTATTTATGCTGATAAGGCTGATGATAAATCAACCCCTGCTTTTTGTTTTAAGTAACTAATAGCAAAATATGTGTCCTAGCGTCGATTACAGCGGGACAGCTTGGTAGGTAATCAGGTTTCGGAGTTGCGATTCAATTTTTATACAGTAAGGGAAAGCCTTACAACACTTCAGTCCAACTTTTTTACTGGGAAAGGTATAACATACAGATGGCCTATCATTTCTGAGTTTAGTTTTCCACATAAAGTTTGAGGTTGTCATGACGAACTGATATCAGATATGATGCAATGCTCCGTAACTGTGCTGTGTAAAAACTTAAGACATATAATTGATATTTAGAGTAAGTTAGAAAGGAAGGGTATTGTCTGGTTTCATTTGACAGTAGTGACCCCGTTGGGTCATGACGAATATGTTACCATGCGATATGACCTGAGAAAAGTTTTATTTATTTATTAAGCTTAATCAACATCCTAAATTGACTTTTCGGTTTCATAATAGAAATTTGTTGGACAGCAGGCATGTTCAGGACCAAATGCTGCTTATTTATAGCTTTCTAACAGTAACAAGTTATTGATTTATGTACTTCAAATTATGTACAAAATATGCAAGAAGTTATTTCAATTCTGGTTAGTCCACTCAAAACCGTTAGGATATTATACTTTTAACACCTATCTTCTCTCTTAAGGGGTGTTGTCTTGATTTTGCCTGACTTATGAATATTATCGTAATCAATGATTAAAAAGACACCTGTCGTTTGCAGAAAATGTGCTCACTAAACGTCTGAGTGTAGGCCTAAATCTTATATAGATGTGGTAGTCTAAAGGATTCTTGAATTGTAGACCAGGTTGATGAAGGGTGTAAACTTATGAATGTCAGTGATGTATTTATGGTTTCACTGTTATTTGTGCTTTTTTGATGTCTTCTAACTAGCATAGGCGCACTTGTAAGTACGTAGTTGAGAAAATTATCACCGTTTTTCCATAAAATCTGCAAATTGGGGAAAGTCGGTTTCATCCAAAATTCAAGGAATTTAAAATAAAATAATTTTTCCGATGTTTTCTTTCTACGTAAGCGAATATAGATTAGGTAATCAATGTATTAAAAATCCCGTTCGCTGTATTTTATTTATATGTACTATGTTAATAATGGTTCTCAATCTAGGGTGTCTAAAAATGCTACAAGCTGTCGATATCCTAACCAGTAAATTTATTCTCTGACATTTTCTCTGTCCATTTGCTGCCTGTTCGCTGTCATTGTTTGAGATAATCAAAATCATTACTCGTATGACCTAGTTGGTTCCCAATTAGAATCTCAGTGTGTCTGCGATGCAGACGGTTTCTGATTCGTTGTCTCCATGGTGTCAAATTTTAAAATTTCAAATAAGCCACAATACAATTGTACGAAGGAACAGTTTCCAATAGTTCTCTGTACAACTCAATAAAAAGTATACTTATATGCTTAAACCACTTATTCTACGGATTTATTAGTGAAACTAGATCATCATTTCAAGTCAGTAAGTCAGTTACAACGTAGAACTTCGTACTTACGTAAGTACATCAGTTCAGGTTGCCATACCACATTAGCACAGAGACACAATTGTCAGTTCAAATCCCATAGTCGTAAAGATAGTAGAGGTACTATTGGTAATGGAGAAGATTAGGGTTCTAAGATATTATTCAAGAAGTATAATTCAGTAGAATAAGCTTAGAATGAGGGAGGTAGAGGTGATGAGGAACTCAGAAGACTACTACTACTACTACCACTACTTCATCTATCGATTTACTATCCTTACTTAGTACTATTTTCCTAACAACAGAATTGCTTACTCGGTTATCCAATGGTCTGATGTAGTAATAATGGCTGGTGACTTTAATGCTCAAGTAGGTGGACTAAGTGAGCAGTAAAGACACCTAGGTGGATGTTATGATGTGGCCAGACCAAAAATTGGCAAAAATCCGTAAAGTCACTGACAAGTGGACTGAGTCATGTTGGTAGATGTAGGCTATCTGGTTGGAGTCCGCGAAACGAGTCACCAATGGTCAGAGACCTTGAACGACATGGCTCAAAATCGTTTGCAATAGCGCAGGTGCATCCACTCTTTGTGTGCTCACAATCTCCATCTTTCTCCTTCTAAATGTATCTCACTGAATTATACTTTTCGAATCATATCTTCGCTCCCTAATCTTCTCCATTGCTGCTAATAGTTTTTCTATCGCTATCACTCTTGGACTTGAACTGACAGTTACGTCTCTGTGCCTACGTGGTATGGCAACTGGTGTACTTACGTACGAAGTTCTGCGTTGTATCTGTCTGTCTGTCGATGTGGGGTCGCGACCCTAGACCCCATGGGACGACTGCTTGAGGCCGGTGAGGCACGGACTTTCTATGGGAAGTTTGGAAATTATTTGCTCCGCGCTTAGAGATACCTTACCGCTGGGACAGAAATTCATGGGGGTGGTTCACACGCTCGACTACTTCACGACAAAATCAAACAAGAATGGAGAGAATGAACAGCCCTGACAGACACCACTTGAAGTAAGGAATTCCGATGGCAGTTCGCCATAAGCTCTCACTCGACCGAATGCATTCGAGTAGAGAGCTTGTATAAGGTAATGTACTTCTTTGGTACAGTTTTTAATAGCAGGCACTGCCACAAAAGCTCACGTTCGACAGAGTCGAATGCCGCTCTAAGGTCGATAAACACTACTATTGTGGGGCGTCTGAACGTGTTCCTATGCTCTAGGTCCTGACGTAGTGTGAATATCTGGTCTATACATCAACGTCCAGGTCGACAATTAGCCTGGTTTTCTCGAGTCTGCTCTTCACGAGTAACAATGTTGTGGCCGTCACGGAAAAATTAGTTTCATTAATATAGTTTCTAAAATGTAAGCCTCACTAATACTTCGACAACGCCTACAGCCCCGCTGTGGCTACTGCCGGTCCCAAGCCCGGGACAAGGACGACTGGGCTTGAGGTTGGCGCTAAACAACGCTAACCGGAAAACATGATTCAGGCCATTTTCACTCTGCCTTGGGAGTCAGGTCTTCTTACAGAAGCCTCGTGATGAAAGCCGAGTTCCCTCAAAAGTCACGATACCGATGCCCCTTCTCACAACCAGAGCAACTATTCTTTCAGGTGGAAAGATTATTACAAGTTGCTGCAGAGATGAGAAGATACAACTTGTAGGTGCTTGGAATCAGTGAAACACATTGGACGCAAGTCGGACAACTGAGACTAGCTTCAGAAGAGCTGCGGTTATACTCCGGCCGTGAAGAAAACGCCTCACACACTCAACAAGTTACACTGGTGCAACAAGCAAGTGAAGAATAGCATCAGAGCCGATTAACGAAAACATGCGGAAGATCTAGCAAGGAAGGTGAACAAGACTGTAAGAGTAGGAAACCTGAGACAATTATACGATACAACAAAGAAGCTCGCTGGAAATTATCGTAAACCAGAACGACCGGTGAAAAGCAAGCGAGGCAAAGTAATCAGCAACACTGAAGAACACAGAAACAGGTGTGTAGAGCATTTTGAGGAACTCTTGAATCGAACAGCTTCACTGAACACACCCAACATACAAGCAGCATTCACCAACCTCCCAATCGATGTTGGCCCACCAACGATTGAAGGGATCAGCATGACCAGCGGACAAATTAAGAGCGGCAAAGCAGCAGGACAAGAGAGCATTCCAGCAGAGGCAAGGAAAGCAGACGTGGCATCAACTGCAAAACGTTCCACATTCTCTCCACCAATATTTTGGATGAAGAACAAGTACCAACAGACTGGAGAGGAGGACACCTAATCAAAATATTAAAGAAAGGCGATCTCAACTAGTTTGAGAACTACAGAGGCATCACTCTTCTCTCAAAACCAGGAAAGATCTTCAACAGGGTATTGTTAAATAGAATGACGGATTTCGTAGACGCCCAACTTCAAGATCAACAGGCTGGATTTCGTAAGGATCGATCGAGTACTGACAAAAGCACAACATTACTGATCATCGTGGAACAATCAATTGAATGGAACTCACCAGTCTACATAAACGTCACTGAATACGAGAAAGCATTGGATAGTGTAGGCAGGATATCGTGATGACCACGCCGAGCTATGTTGGCTGGAACGTATGTTCCTGAACGTTCTTCCATGCTAGACAGGTCGATTGGAGAACGATGAGATTAAAAGCAGCTACACAATGTGTGAGGGCGAAGTCGTACTGCTGACTGAAGAGGGGTGTGACAGCAGTAAGGTGTCACCCTCGAACAACCGGTGTCTGCAGCGATGCTGCCTTCTCAAAAGGAAGGAAGGGTTAGAGAAGGTCGACCCTAAGAATGTCACACCTCAACCTGCCTCACGGATTCCGTCTCTGGCGGTAAGGGTGCTCACTAGGGACCTTCAAGTGCGGAGATAATGCTCAAAAATCTTTTCATCAGAAGGCCGTGTGTGACCGGCCTCAAGCAGTTGTCCCTTGGGCACTGCGGTCACGCTCCTTGGTCTCTAATACCGACACTAATTTACCTTTCCAGGTTCCTAAATAAACACCCACGGTGTGAGCAGCCGGAATTCGACAACCGCTCTCGTACCTGTAACAGCACACGAGACCGAATCGGTCACAATCGAATCCTTCATCCACGTCCTAACATCTCTCTTGTATTCACGACTGACTCTTCGCAGATTCCTATATCACCCCGCGCCTCTACTGCAAACGATTCGAGTTCCCGAAACGTTATTCCTGGTCTCCGCGTATTTTTTTGCGGCTTACCGGACGTTAGAAATATACCGTAAGGAAACCTCCTAAGGTTCTACGTAGTGATAGCAGAGCTGTAAATATGTTTCAGCAACAACTAGAGAAGCAATTAGGCGGCCATTTAGTAAGTGATCCCCACCCTGAGTCACCTTGGAATGACATCAAAAAGGTTGTGAAAACAGCAGCAAGGTAAGGTAAACCATGTGGCTAGGAAGAAGCCGTGGATCTCAGTAGCATCTATCGAACTGATGGATGCTCCAAAACTTATCCCACCTGGCTGTGAACATAATGAAGAGCGAAGTCAGCTTAGGCGCTGATAAAAAGTCTACGCAACGACCTCGAACAGTGGAAAAGGCAGCGGCGATAGGCAACAGTAGGCAACTATTTAGACTCATCAAGGAAACTGGTATTAGGAACCCAAGTGTGAGTGAGACTATTTCGGAAAAGGATGACCTTATTATCCATTCTCAATCAAGGAGATTGGATCGATGAGCAGAACAATTCAGGGATCAACTCAACTGGCCTTCAGCCACACTTCGGTTGCCCACGATCCCCAGTCGTCCTGAATGGCAAATCGATATAAGTCCTCCTAGTCTTTATGAAGTTGAGAAAGCGTTAGGAAATCTAAAGCGAGGTAGAGCAGTAAGTCCTGATAGGCTAACTCCTGAGATTTTTAAGGATGATGGTCCAGTTTTAGCAGCTAGGTTGACCGAGATCTTAGTTAGAATCTGGGAACTGGACGTAATCCCATCTGACTGGTCTCAATCACTGATTGTCCCAATTTATAAGGAAGGACAAAAGTACGTGAAGTAAGGTAAGGTGTGACATTCTTAGGGTCGACCTCTAACCCTTCCTTCCTTTTGAGAAGGCAGCATCGCTGCAGACACCGGTTGTTCGAGGGTGACACCTTACTGCTGTCACACCCCTCTTCAGTCAGCAGTACGACTTCGCCCTCACACATTGTGTAGCTGCTTTTAATCTCATCGTTCTCCAATCGACCTGCCTAGCATGGAAGAACGTTCAGGAACATACGTTCCAGCCAATATAGGTCGGTTGGGTCGCCAGACCACCTCTTCAAGGTAGCAGCTGCAGTCGTGTTGGCAGATAAGCATGTTGACCTCACTTATCTCAGGAGCCTCATGAGTGCTGATTGGAAGTAAGTCAGTCAGGTACAACGTAGAACTTCGTACGTAAGTACCTAAGTCCAGGTTGTCATACAATATTAGTACAGAGACGCAGTTGTCAATTCAAATCCCATAGTAGTAGAGATAGTAGAAGTATCAGCAGTAATCTGAGAGATTAGGGTTCAACGATATCATTCAAGAATTATAATCCAGTGAAATCAACTTAAAAAGTGACAGACAAAGGCGACGAGTAATTGAGATTAGAATTTGAGAGAGCACAAAGAATTGATTAACCTGCGGTAGATAAAAGTAGCAGTAGAGAATAAACTAAAAGGTATTCAGTAATATTAGGATTCCGGTCCCAAGGAATGTCCGAGTGTAAGTGCATCTGCTCCACTGTGACCAATTCTGAACTGTGTCATCTAACGTCTCTAACTAGTCAAGATAATTGATACACGAATGTCATGGATATCTTCTGAGCTTCGCCTGCATATGTTGGGATCATGGAGTAAATTATGCTAAGGTTAGATGCAAAGTACCAGGTATATATGTTGCATTGGTTGATGAAATAGTGGACGTTTATTGAATGAGGTGGTGAAGATATGTACTACGTAAGCTAAACCGCTGCCTATCTCAACGGTTATGTTGTCTGATGGAGTAGGTTTGAGAAAGCGTGGGTGACCAAACGAAAATGTGACACTAGCCGATGAAATAATCGGAAATTGGGCTGAGCCATGTAAGTAGTTGTAGATTGGTTGCTTGTGGTCTGCGAAATAGTAAATAATGTTTCGAGACATTGGGTGTCATGGCTTAGAACTTTTTTTTATGGGGTAGATGCGTTCACTCTTTGTTTTTCCTTAGACCTTTTACAGTTACCTTACTTCCTTATTCCAAGAGTTCATTTTTTCTTCCTCATATTGTCTTTATTTAATACCATTAATACTGTTGCTGCTTCTATTGCTGTGGGATTGGTCTTTTATAATTTCACCTTGTGATGGTAATGTGGCATAGTAACTTGGACCAATAGACAGATATTCTAGTTTCTACATTACGGTTGACTGATGTCAATTTGTAGGCCTAGTAACTTTTCAAAGCATTTAGCATTTAATTTTGAAAAATTTTTGAGTCTTTATTTGACACTTAATCTTCTGAAAATACTTTTTCCATTAACTAACAAAATATCGAGCAAACAAACTTTTTCATTTATTCCAGTTTTCTGACTTCATTATGGCTGATTATTTGAAGTCTGCATTGAGTTATTTCGCCAATTCAAACACTACTAAAAGTGAAAATGAATTTATTGGCAGTAGTATATCTGTTGGGCAACTAAATTTAAAGGTTAAGCGAATTATTGCTGAAGGTGGCTATGGAATAGTTTATGAAGCTCAAGATATCAATGAAGATACATCGTATGCGTTAAAGGTATCCACTTACTTTTATGATTACCTATTTAGCGTATGCTCGCTCACGACAAGCCTTCAGCAGATCTTATTCTTCATGAAGTTCGTCTACTGGTATGTATCTGAAATTTCATTACCGTTTTAAATACACTACCTTTAGAAACAATTAAACGGACATCCAAACATCCTTAAATTTTTTAGTGCAGCGTCTGTCGGTAAGGAGAAAATGAAGATTATTGGCACTGAGTTCCTGATAGTCACAGAGTTTTGTAAAAGTCAGTTCATATTTGTTAAGCATTTGTATAAGCACTTCTCATACTTTGGCCTTATTTTTGTGGTAAACAGTTTCTATGATAGTTTTAAACCTAACAATTTCACGATTCATAGAAGTAAATAGTAACTTCTGTTCCTTGGTTTGACTGTTTAGTTTTATCGTTTTATTACAGTAATAGTCTGACAACCGTGGACAATATAGGACTTGAAACAAATGTGTATAAAAAGATTTTATATCGTAAACTATTTCTGTTGTCATGTTCAATTTCCTGTCACTCAAAATGGTATAGCAGCTTAAATTATATACGTGAAAGAGCTAGATTTCAATTCCAATACATGTTTGCTGGTCACTTCATTAGTTTTTGTTAATAATTCTGTCCAAAATCCACTAACATGTTTTAAATTTCTCCTGTAATACTTAGTTAATAAGGTAATAGCTAATATCGTTTGTTTCACGAACGGTAAAGTTTATATCAGGGATTTGTTAACAATTGGAATTCCTAGCGTTTAACTTTCACGGAAAAGTGAGAGATTTTAGTATAGCAGAATAACGCGAGTTCATTTACTTCGTGGATTCTCATCAGCTCCTTACTACCTAGAAAAGATAATGATAATTATTTATCATCAATGTACTTACCTTATATCATGTTAACAAAGAGTACTAGTAATGGTAGTAGAATAACGACAACGAACATGGAAGAACTATAAAGTGGTAAAATGGATGAAAATTTATGGTACTGAAAATTCTAGTTTTTAAACGTTTTTAAAAAATGAATATTGATTTAAAAGCTACGCAGTAGTCTAAATTTTTATTAGAACGACAGTTTAAAATGAGTGAAGCTCAAGAAATCTCAAGATTAAAATGATTCAAGAAAACATTAATCGATTATAAGTTTTCATCTTGAACTGGAGCATTTTTGTTTCGTTTCGTTAACTCAGAATAGAACTAAAACACAGATTGGTACAGAATAATATGAATTCATTTTACTTCGTCAAGTTCTCATCAGCTGCTTACAAGCTATAATATTTTCAACTCTAAATTTTCATTTAAAATTGACGTACTTATTAATACAAAGGTGATTAGACAGATGTATCATGATGTTGCGAAGTTTTCAATAAAGGTAATAAGGTAATAAATATATGTTGCAGGTTAATGGGATGTGAGTCAGTCAGTAAGTTACAACGTAGAACTTCGTACAAGTACATAAGTTCAAGTTGCCATATCACATTATCACACAGAGGTCGAATCGTCAATTCAAATCTCATGGTAGTAAAGATAGTAGAAGTATTAGCTGTAATCAGAAAGATTAGTGACCGTAGATATGATTTGAACAGAAAAACCCAGTGAAATCAATTAGAAACAGAGAAGAGACGGTCATGAGGAATCTCACGACCGACAGACTCAAATGCCGCCTGAAGGTCCAGGAAGATAACTATTGTAGGACTACTTAATGTGTGTCTGTGTTCCAAGACCTCACGTAGTATGAATATCTGGTCTGTACATCTACGTACAGGTCGAAAATTAGTCTGGTTTTCGCGAGTCTGCACTTCACAAGCTCCAGTTAGGCGTCTAAGGATTATAGAGGCCAGCAAATTAAAGACTATATTATTTAGACTTATTCGCCTGTGATTGTCACAAGAGGACTTTTGTCCTTTCTTATAAATTGGGACAATCAGTGATTGAGACCAGTCAGATGGGATTGCGTCCAGTTCCCAGATTCTAACTAAGATCTCGGTCAACCTAGCTGCTAAAACTGGACCATCATCCTTAAAAATCTCAGGGATAAGTTTATCAGGATCTGAAGCTCGCCCTTCAGATTTCCTGGAGCTTTCAACCTCATAAAAACTCGGAGGACCCATTCAGGACGACTGGGGATCGTGGGCAACCGAAGTGTGGCTGAAGGCCAGTTGAATTGATCCCCTAAGTGTTCTGCCCATCGATCCAATCTCCTTGATTGAGAATGAATGATACAACCATCCTTTTCTGGGATAGCCTCACTAACAGTCGGAACAATTGTCTACTGTTACTTATCATCGCTGCCTCTTCCATCTCTCTTGCTTTTGCTACCCACCATTGTTCGCGATCATTGCACAGGCTTTTTATCAGCATGCGCTTAAGCTGACTTCGCTCCACATCATGTTCAGAGCTAAGTGGGATGAGTTTACGAGCATTTATCAGTTCGACAGTTGCTAATGAGATCTACGGCTTCTTCTTAACCTCGTGATTCACCTTACTAGAAGATATCGCTGCAGTTTCCACAGCTTTTCGGATGACAGTCCAAGCTACCTCAGGGTGGGAATCACTTACATTGTTGCCTAACTTTTTCTTATTGTTCCTGAAATATATCCTTAGCTATGCCATCATTAGGTACAACCCTATGAGGTTTTCTTGTGGTGTCTTTTCTACGTCCAGTAAGCCTCAAACAAATATGCACTCGTAGTAGAGCATGATCTGAATGTAAACAAGTGCCTCAGAACGGGCGACAGTCTTCTATCGAACCCCTCCATCGGTGGCTGATAGCGATCTGATCTAACCCAACCAGGCAGTCTACACTTACCAGCATGACTCAGTCCAGTTGTCAGTGACTTCATGGATTTGTGCCGTGTCTTCGTTTGGCCGACTCTAGCTTTCTTCCAACCTACTCCTACCCCACAAAACATAGTTCATCTGGGCAGTCGGTGGTTGGGCATTCGCAACACATGTCCTGACCACCTTAACTGGTGAAGTTTCACTACTTCATCTATCGATCTGCCATCCTTACGTAGTACCCGTTTCCTAACAACAGCATTGCGTACTCGATAGTCCCAGGGTATATGAGCAGTGCTTCGAAGACACCGATCAAGAACCAGTAACCTACTGTTACTGGCCATGTTTCGCAGCCGTAAAGTAGAAAGGAAGGAACTGCTGCTCAGTAGACTCGTTCTTTGGTTAGCAAATGGATGTCTCTTCTACCCCATAAGTGACGCAGGTTGGCAAAAGCCAGTCGAGCCTTCTGTATCCGTGCTGAGATTTCGTCAGTTACCAGACCATCAGCACTGATGAGACTCCCGAGATAAGTTAAGCGATCAACATGCTTATCTACTACACTCACCATAACCAGTTCAGGTGCTGATGCAAGCCATTCCTAAAGCAACATTTTGCATTTCGAGGGGGAAAACCGCATCCCGAACATGCTTGCATTGTTGCTTAAAGAGTTCAGAAGACTGCATTTAGTCAGTGACTTAACTTCGCAGACTCTACGTCAACAACCGATTCCCTGACGAAGGGCCAACCGCTGAGATGTTAGATGATGATAGTGTTGTCTCTAAAAGCCTGTCAATAACATATTAGAATAAGAATGAAGAAAGTGGACAGCCCTGGGAATTCACCAGTGTATAATTTGTTGTCGTAGTATATATAAAAGCTGTACAGGACTTGCGTCTGTCGGTCCTTCACGACTCCCTGGTTTGGGTTCTAGTGGTGCTGCAACTCAGTAGCCTGAGGCTTTACGAAATATTACTGAAAATAAAGACTAGTTTAGGTTCGTGCGGTCTTTTAATTTCTTTTAAGCGAAATGAACTTCTTTAACTAAAAGAATTCTTGCTGCCTGTATTTGCATTAGCTGAACTGCTTCTCCAACCATTATTACTGTTGTTATTATTTCTTCCTCTTGAACTAATTTCTTTTCATTTTGCTCTTTTAATATACTCAGTTGCTTCATCTATCACGTTACAACCTCATTTTTGTTTTATGGCGCATATATATTTTTGTGGTTCCTTGTACTAATATGGTTATGTTTCACTAAATATGAAACTATAATTCTGATCACTATTTTCGTCACAGAAACAAATATTAAGGTTAGATTTCCCGGTGCTATGGTCACATATTTTACATTGACTACGTTGTTAATATCGCTGTTAAATTTTAGGTAGAATCAAATTTCAAGTGCTTTAAAGATGTTGTAGTTGCTGAATCTTGATTAAAGTATTATTGCCTATTTTATGCAATTCAAGAACTTCATATGTGAGCGATTGAGCTAACTGATTTATTTTTTACATTCAGGGGGCCAGTTGGATAAATATTTGCCTACACCAAAATGTGAAAATCCCCTTTCATCAAATGTTATCTTACAAATTTTTCATCAATGCTGTCGTGGCGTACAGCACATGCATAGTCAGTGTCCACCAGTGATACATCGGGATTTGAAAATCGAAAATTTGTTACTTACGGATAATTTTATTATCAAGTTATGCGATTTCGGTAGTGCGACTACAATTACGTATAATCCAGATCAATCATGGACTGCTTTACAACGTGGAAGTGTTCAAGAAGAAGTGAGTGTTGCGCTGTAAACTAGTTTAATAATTGATTTTATGAGTTAATTATATCTATTAAAGCACTGTTGTTGTTATGGAGTGGTATTCAATTTTTAAATTGAGTTACAGCTTCACTAAGCTTCATTTAGGTATTTTGTATTTACACACTATATATACATATAAGAATTTTTATGTACAGTTTGAAATTTTACTTTTTCCTCATATCAGCGGACGAATCCTTGGAGAAGGCCTCAAATTAAATATGTAAAGAAATTTTCTCTAGTATAAATTGAGTTATTCTTCAGATATGCGTTAATGAAATGGAGCGAGAGTATTTACTCAACGGCTAAGTTCCACAATAGTGATGCATCTCTTCGACAACTAGTACGTATTCATCAACATGCACTCAAACAGTGCATAGTGTTTCTTTCTAAATAACTGTTCATTTATTTCCCCTATGGAATTTATCACAATGGTCATTATGGTGTATTTTATTTTATATATTGAAAGTTTGTGTTGCTGTAATTCACATTTAAACAATATACGTTGAGTCAATCATTTCAATTTAAATCATTCACATAATTTCTTGTTTAGACTTGTTATTTCAAGTGCTTAATAAGTTCATGTTTTTTTTTTCTTTTCGGCTTTGTGGAATTTCACAAAATCAGATAAATTTTAATCACCTTTTGTCATCTAATTCCTATCTTTAGGGTTCAGTTTAATAATACCACTGTCTTTCCTAATGTATATTAGTCCTTAATTATCTAAGTCCACTAAATGAAGATATTATTTGAAAAAAATTTCGTATTGTAATCGTATCAATGGAAATATCTAGTTATTATTTCTAATTTTTTTTACAATTTTAACTTTGTACTGAATGATTGCTAATATGTGGATGTTAAGTATTATGTTTTAATACTAGTGATAAGTATTAATGAATGAGTTGTACATCAATTTCTGACCTGTATCAACACAAAACTAATCAACATCGATGAAATCCTAGGAATCTTAATCTTTGTGCATCTTTCAGTAATAATTTATTTTGTTAATGGATTTTCAAGGCAAATATTGTGACTTTTATCGTTTACGGAATTCAATTTTTAGCTAGTTTACGTGTAAGTTTTGTAGCTTATTGTTACTTTCGCCTCTATATTTAAAAAAATTATTTTTATTCCTCTCTTAAGCTGGAACGTTTCACAACACCAATGTATCGAGCTCCAGAAATGCTTGATCTCTATCAAAATTATCCTATTGGTACTCCATCAGATATTTGGGTAAGTTATTATCTTAACAATCCATTTGAATGCAAATACCCTTCATACTGATTATGTATGTATGTGTAATCCTAGGTGCCCATCAAAACCTATTGATCAAATTGCTATGCAGCCACTAATCTTAGTTACTCGATATCACTTCAGTGATCGTTCCTAATGTTTATCTTATATATTTGAAATCCCATTCTAAATTCATGTAGATATTGAGATATACAGTACAGTCAATCTCGTTCGAAATCATCGTCATTTTCACGTCATCTTATAAATTATGTGGATGCTGTAATACTGAGCTCATAATACTAAGCTCGTAGCTAAAATTAGATTGTTAGCTTGACTAAAATATCTAATCCATAAATCTCCTAACAAATATTAAGAGGCGTATCCTTTTCGAATGCCGGAGTGCATGTTCATTATTGTTCTGAGAGCAGACTTTTTCCCAATTTTCTGGTTAGAGCTTCTGTATCCACCAAACCAGCTTCAGCATTAAACTCTTACTGTCATCCTTTTAATTTTCCGAAAAGTATCAGATTGTAGGTGGAAACAATTAGCAATGGTCTTTTGTCAGATTTCTCAACCTCTTAATCATTGGAAAACATTTCCGAAAGAAAAGGGGATCATATTCCAAAGCCTTGAGAATTCATAGTAACTTTTTAAATGTCTATAAATGCTACTAACAAGTTCTGAAAAGCTAACGCATGTCAGAATTACCTCCAACCGATTAATTAAATTCAAAAGATGGATTTCTGCTGTATGTTATTGTGTTGATCTAGTTAAGATTGTTCACGTGTTCAAATGAGTCAACTTATTTGAGCAACTGAAAGTAATCATTGTTGTTCCTATAGTAAGTGAACAGATAGTAAGGAGCATTTCAATGTAATATAAATTTTAAGTTTACTTATTAATTGTTAGTTGCCTTAGGACAACTAATTGTATTCCATCTTTCCTATTAAATTTAATATGGATTATTCAATAACTACTTATTTGTGTAAGCATTTTGAACTTGTTAAAGTGATCACAGAATTACTCGATTTTTGTTAACAATGCTAAAGTAACGGTGATCTTGAATGTGACGTATGACTTTTATCCTTTTCTGATTGATTGCTACTACTCTTAGTTTGCTAACTTCCTGTATGGCTGAAGGTAATTCTTTCATTACAATACTGACTTATACCTTTCCAAGTCGTTCTACTTTAACATCAAGTTTTTCCTACACTATCTTCTTCTTGTGTTGGCGGTTAATTGTCGAAATGCTGTATCCGGATGCAGTTATCAGGTTCGTAATAGGACCGTTTTTATTCGAATAGTTATACTGTTTCTAAATTCATTCGTATTAATGACCAGTCGGAACCTCAGTACACATAATCGTTCTTGTTGTGACTCAAAAGAACTGCACAGATTGGTGATGCCTGCTTACTTTGTTTTACAAAAGACAAACGACAAATGACAATGATGAATTGAAAAAAAGGCATAGTTAGTGCATGCATATCGTAATAGTTTATGATTGTTCAACACATTTCGATAATATAGTTCAGTGTTATAATTTAGTCGCATCTTCTTTTCAAATATTCTGTGTCTGTTTTTTCATTAGTTGTTTCATGCCTAGTTAGATTCTAAATTTTCTTAAGTTAGATTTCGCTAAACATTAAGTTTATAGTTAAAACTTAATTGAATATTATTTCTAGCTACCCCTGTGTATTTAATTTGATGTACACATTTAGAAATTGTTACTGTACAACATTCTTTGGTATTGCAGATAATGTAGAAGTTTCGTGATATGGCTTAAAATCGACCATAGTGGCGAATTTGTATTCAATTTTTGTTTTCCCTCAGATCCTCAGTCTCACTATTATCTTCTAATCACTAATTTCTCTCTTGATCTTATGATTAATCCATTATTATTATTATTATCGTACAAATGGAAATACTCAGTATTATATGTAGTGTATTATTTTCTTTTTTCTCTCATTGAAGGCTTTAGGATGTTTATTATTTTACTTGACATGTACTTATCATCCATTTGAAGATTCATCGAAATTGGCTATTCTGAATGCTAATTATAGCATACCAGCGTCAACAAGTCCAGATAATGCACCATTTTACAGCTTAATACGTAAGTTAACGTTTATTTCAGTGCTATTCTGAAATAGGTTTGTTTTAATCACGAATCAATACACCAAGTAAATAAACAAAACTGAAGATTTTATTATCATTTTTCTGGATTATGGCTGGAAATGAAATGTAGGATGCCGATCTTCGTCCCGTTTTGGACTCATCTTTCCAAAGATTGATGTTTACACTCAAACTCCGATCGAATGGCCATCGGTTCTTAAGGCCAAGTCATTATCCACTAAGCCACAGCGTGAAATCGCCCCACAAGAAAGAGGAATAAATCGTAATTTACATAATAAATCACCTATAATAATTCCGAAACCAATGATATCATCATGGCTGTAGAAGAATGCTGGAGCAGACAGACTCGGTCTTCATTCGAAGTCATGTATCAACAGAGTTGAAAGAAGGCTTATAAACCCGAAAAACTGACTTTATTCTCAGGACGAAAAGATTATATGCATCTACTTCATTACTTACGCCTGTTACCCCCAACGGAGCATAGGCCGCCCACCAGTATTCTCCAACTGACTCTGTCCTGGGCCTTCCTTTCCAGTTCTGTCAATTTTTGTTCATTCTTCTCATGTCTGTCTCCATTTCTCGGCGTAATGTGTTCCTTGGCCTTCTTCTTGTCCTTTGACTTTGAGTGTTCCAGGTGAGGGCTTGTCCTGTGTCTCAGTTGGGTGCTTTTCGCAATGTGTGTCCTATCCACTTCCACCGCTTCTTCCTGATTTCCTCCTCCTCTGGAATCTGGTTTGTTCTCTCCCAAAGTAAGTTGTTGCTGATAGTGTCTAGCCAACGTATCTGAAGTATTTTGCGAAGACAAAACTGTTCATAAATACCTGTTTCTTCTGGATGATGGCTTTGGTAGTTCTCCAAGTTTCCGCTCCATACAGCAGAACTGTCTTGACATTTGTATTGAAAATCATGATCTTGGTGTTGACTGATATTTGTTTGGAGTCCCAGATATTTTTCAATTGTAGAAATGCAGCCCTTGCATTTTGGTAAACAGCATAAGTTTCTCTTCTCAGTTTAGAATACACTATTTAGTTATGGAGCAGCCAGATTAGGTAATTTTTGAATGACGAGGTAGTTACCTTGGACTCAAAAAATAAGTAAATTTATTGGGTTCTTTCCGCAATGTGTGTCCTCTCCACTTCCACGGCTTCTTCCTGATTGCCTCCACTGGAATCTGTTTTGTTCTCTCCCACAGTAGGTTGTTGCTAATGCTGTCTGGCCAAGAGATCCGATTTATTTTGCGTAGACAACTGATTATGAATACTTGTGGATAATAGGTTTGGTAGTTATCCAAGTTTCCGCCCCATACAGTAGAGTTGTTTCGACATTTGTTTTGAAAATCCTGATTTTGGCGTTGATTGATAGTTGTTTGAAGTTCCAGATGTTGCTAAATTGTAAAATTTGTAGCCCTTGCCTTACCGAATCGCGCCCTCACATCTGCATCGGATCCATCTTGATTGTGGATCATGCTACCCAGATATTTGAAGGTGTTAACGTTCTCCAAAGCATCTCCATCACCATTGATTCGGTTCTACGGGATGCGGTTCTCACCCTCGAAATGCAAAATGTTGCTTCTAGATTGGGTTGCATCGGCACATGAACTAGTGATAGGTAGTGAAGCAGTTGATCGTGTCGACCGCTTCACTTATCTCGGGAGTCTCGTCATTCCTGATGGCCTGGTAACTGACGGAATCTGAGCTCGGATACAGAAGGCTCGATTGGCTTTCCTCCAATTTACGTGATTTATGGCGTACGCGAGATATCCGTTTCCTGACTAAATTGGCGAGTGTACTGCTCAGTAGTTCGCTCTGTTCTCCTATATGGTTGTGAAACATGGCCGGTAAGAATAGGAGATATTCGTAGGTCACTAGTATTTGATCATAGATGTCTTAGAAGTATCCCTCGTGTACCCTGGGACAGCGGAGTAAGCAATGCTGTCGTTAGGAAACGAGTACTAGGTAAGGGTGATAGGTCAATAGACGAGGTGTTGAATCTTGATCACTTGAGGTTGTTGGGACATGTGTTACTTATGCCCGATCACCGACTGCCTCGACGAGCTTTGTTTTGTGGTGTAGGGGTAGATTGGTAGAAAGTTAGGGGCGGCCAGACCAAAACATGGCATAAATCCATGAATTCACTGACAAGTGAACTGAGTCATGTTGGTAGATGTAGGCTACCTTGTTGGTGTCCACGAGACGAAAGTGATCGATGGTTAGAGACCTTGAATGACATGGCTCGAACTCGTTTGTAATGGCGCAGGTGCATCCACTACAATTGCGTCTCTGTGCTAATGTAGTACGGCAACATGAACTGATGTACTTACGTACGAATTTCTACGTTGCAGCTTACTGACTGACTGGCTTAGTGGCACAATATTCCAACACAAACGCATACACTAAGCTACATGGATTTCACCGGATCACACTGCTCAGAGTAGGAGTGTAGGAGTAGGTTGGAAGAAAGTTAGGGGCGGTCAGACCTAAACATGGCAGAAATCCATGAAGTCATTGACAAGTGGACTGAGTCATGTTGGTAGATCTAGGCTACCTGGTTGTGGTCCGCGGGACGAAAGTCACCAGTGGCTAGAGACCTTGAACGACATGGCTCAAAATCGTTTTCGATGACGCAAGTGCATCCATTCGTTGTGCTCTCCCAAATCCTAATTTTCTGGATTCGTCAGCACCTCTACCTTTGTCTTTCTACCTTATCTCACTAAATTATACTTCTTGAATAATATCTTTAAACCCTAGTCTTCTTCATTACCATTATTACCTCTACTATCTTTATCACTATGGGATTTGATTTGACATTTGCGTCTCTGTGCTAATGTGGTACGGCAACATGAACTGAATACACACCGACAATTATGGACACACATTTGATTGGAACAACGTGGAAATACTGGGTAGGGGGAGGACAAAGAACACTAGAGAATTTTTAGAAGTGAAATCAAGTACATGAACCAATAAAGGGCACTCAGGTCAATTAGCAATCAACAAACACATCGACATTGACCCAATTTATCAACCAATCAGTAAAATCATAGGTGACACTAGATCAAGAAACAGATCAAAAGAGGGAGGCAATCAAAACATAGTTGCAAACAACGACAGGTCAAAGGTCAACAACAACCAATCAAGATCGAGGTTAGGAGAACAAGCTACAGGTCAAACGTGGAGAAATTCTAATTCTTCACTTCTATCTGAAGTTCGTGCTGATGATGTTGTTCAGAAGAACAATGAAAGCTCCACAACCAAAACAACCAGCTGAGAGAACGAAACACCACCACAATCAACTGATGTACTTACGTACGAAGTTCTACGTTGCAGCTGACTGACTGACTGTGTGATTTGGTTGGCGCATGTTGTTTTTGTGCATTTGTTGTTGCATGTGTAACAGAAAAGCCAGATCATCTGCGCATTTCAGATCGTCCAGTTGCATCTTGGCTGTCCACTATATACCGTGCTTCCCTGCAGATGTTGAAGTCTTCATAATCCAGTCAATCACTAGGAGAAAGAGAATGGGGGAGATTAAGCAACACTGCCTGACACCGGTCTTCACCTCGAACGAGTTTGTTAGCTGTCCTTCGTACGCAATTTCGCACTCTTATTCATCATAAGAATTTCGTATAATGTTGACCACCTCAGGCAAGACGTGGTGTCGAAGAAACATCCATGTCCTGTTCACGCTATAAAATGCTTTCTCGTAGTCAGTGACGTTTATGTAGACTGGTGAGTTCCATTCAATTGATTGTTCCACGATGATCAGTAATGTTGTGCTTTTGTCAGTACTCGATCGATCCTTACGAAATCCAGCCTGTTGATCTTGAAGTTGGGCGTCTACGAAATCCGTCATTCTATTTAACAATACCCTGTTGAAGATCTTTCCTGGTTTTGAGAAAAGAGTGATGCCTCTGTAGTTCTCAAACTAGTTGAGATCGCCTTTCTTTAATATTTTGATTAGGTGTCCTCCTCTCCAGTCTGTTGGTACTTGTTCTTCATCCAAAATATTGGTGGAGAGAATGTGGAACGTTTTGCAGTTGATGCCACGTCTGCTTTCCTTGCCTCTGCTGGAATGCTGTCTTGTCCTGCTGCTTTGCTGCTCTTGATTTGTCTGGTGGTCATGCTGATCCCTTCAATCGTTGGTGGGCCAACATCGATTGGGAGGTTGGTGAATGCTGCTTGTATGTTGGGTGTGTTCAGTGAAGCTGTTCGATTCAAGAGTTCCTCAAAATGCTCTACACACCTGTTTCTCTGTTCTTCAGTGTTGCTGATACTTTGCGTCGCTTGCTTTTCACCGGTCGTTCTGGTTTACGATTGTTTGCAGTGAACTTTGTTGTATTGTACAACTGTCTCAAGTTTCCTTCTCTTGCAGCCTTTTCCGCCTTCCTTGCTAGATCTTCCACATATTTTCGTTAATCGGCTCTGATGCTATTCTTCACTTGCCTGTTTGCTTCTGTGTATTCAACTCGCGCTTTGACTTTCTCTGCTCTTGTTCATTTGATGTTGATTGTCGCCTTCTTGTTCAATCTTCTATTTTTGTAAGAGTACCAACAGAGATTCATTCCTTGTGATGGTGCTTCTTGTGGCCCAGAACCTCCTGACATGTTGACGTGATTGCCCCTTTGATCCCCTTGCAGTTGTTCCCCATGGTTGTTTCCTCTCCATTGAGTAGATCTTGCAAGGCCTGGAACCTATTGGTGACGGCTATCTTGTTTTACGGTATCCCACCAAAAGGCTGTATTAAACTTGTGTGATGTTGTCTGCCCCGTTGTCCAGTGCTTCTTTAGTTTCAGTTTCATCTTGGCGACTAGCGAGTGATGATCTAAGGCTGGCATGGACCCACCAAAACTGTCAAATCCTTTGATGAGCATCTGTCGACCATTGACTGCAGCCTCTCGTAGAATGGATGTTTAATGTTTCATTGTAATCGTCGGTAGGCGCGTAACATTGAATGATGTTCACTGTAATGCCCTCTTTCAGTGTATTGAAGGATGCTTTGATGATTCGGGGTCCAGGAGATATCCATCCTATCAGCACGTTTTGTGCTTGTTTGGACAGCATCACTGCAACTCTTTGTGTGTGTGTGTGTGTGTGTGTGAGGCATTTTCTTTTTCATGACCAGAGTATAACAGCAGCTCTCAGTTGTCCTACTTGCGTCCAATGCGTTTCACTGATTCCAAGCACATCCAGGTTGTATCTTTTCATTTCTGCCGCAACTCCAAATAGTCTTCCAGTCTCCCACGATGTACGAACGTTCCATGTATCGCCGATCGTTGCTAATTTATTCGCTTCATGTCGAATTCCTCATTTTCGCCTGTACCATCAGATCACGCACCTCGCTCAGATATGTAGATGACACATTTGTCACCAATAAAAAGACTCCTAAGAACTTTCCACAAACTAGTAAATACGTTCTTTAAATACATCGAATTCATTTTGAAAAATGAAGATGAATATAGTGAACTACCTTTCTCAGGTTGTGCTATTAAAAGGAATTTCAACGGAAATCTCAATTCAGCCGTATACCGAAAATCAGCTCATTCAAATCAGCACATTGATTTTAACTTTGGACGCACATACATTAGATAAATTATCCAAGACTGTGAATCTATTCAGACGTGCTACCCAGATGAGTACTTCAGAATACAATCAGTAAAGGAAAAAGATTACAATGAACATCTTACTGCTTGATAATCTTCCTATGAATATTAATAAAAGCTTATTGAAATGAAACTATTTTTCAGTAACAATTCTAATGAAAGTTCTTGCATTGATATTGTGGTCTTACCTCCAAGGTACGACAGAAGAATTGCAACGGATCCTGAAAACGTTCAGAATTAAAGTTTTCTATAAAATAACCAACACCACGAAACTCTTTAGTTAAAAGACAAGAATCCTTTTACATACACGTAAAACCGTGCCCATAAACTAAGCTGTCGGGTGATGCTGTATATTGGAGAGTCTTCTCACGAAATTTCGCATCGTACCAAAGAACACTGAAGCAATACTAAAAGACTCCATAATAATCCCGTAGCGATGAGAAGTTTTGAGATGGTGGAGAAAATTTGTAGCTTAGGTGGATGATTGTGCTGATGATGTTGTTCAGAAGAACAATGAAAGCTCCACAACCAAAACATCCAACTCAGAGAACGAAACTTCACCACAATTAGACGTTTACAACTTTAATCGTCAATAGCAGTACATGTTATTTACAATAACCACCGAATCAATATCCAAAATGTCAAAGTAATTCAGAAAGATTTTCTAGACAGATACTCGTCTAGAAACTCTAGATGAGTAGCCGAAGAGTTTCATATACTGCCTAATCCATCTGCCTTCAGTAGGAAAGGAGGCCTGATTATTCATCGAGCTTGGACTACTTGGCCAAATAACCACATTTGATTCAATTCATTATCTACGCATACAAACACAATTTACCATTACTTTCAACTCCATCACTTCATATCGAAAATTACATATTTTTCTTACCCACCTTCATACCCAAATAAACATTGAGGTTTCACACAAAATAACTTTGAGCAAAAATGACATGGTATTGATATGTTCAGACGTATTATAATTTTGATTGCACTGAAACTATTCCGTTTTGTTTCCTGTTTAAACTTGTGTTACTTTATTTCGGTCATTTATTTATTCATTTGTTATGAAGAAATAACTTGCACTAAGTCGAGAGACGTTAGAAATACAAATTTCTACTCATTGAAATACTACCAAAAGGTTATTACTATTATCGTTATTGTTTATTAAATTAAACTGAAATTACAACATATCTCAAACGGTACAGCCTGTGTTGTATAGTCGCTCTAGCACAAAATAGCGTTTTAATCAGTAAAAGGAATGGGTAATAAGTAGGTATTCTGCACCTTGGAATCAAGATGGAATCAATAATCTACCTGCAACAATTCAAATGACTTCCCAGCAGGTCGTCATAGATCGACAATCATCAAACGAACCATGACGTGACCTGAAGCCTAATCAAACACGATCTTATTGTCAGTGACCGGGCAACAAGCAATAATTAATAAAGGTAAATTCTAAAAACCTAGACAAAGAAGACTGGAGAACACAAAACACGGTTGCAAGTGTCCTGAGTAATTGTTGGAATACAAAACATGATGAAAGACCGAAAAATTAACAATGCTGTGCCATATAACACTTTGAAGGGATTTCCAGTGTATTTTTTCTATTAAAAATAATTTAGCTAAATCGAATATTATATAATTTTTTTTCAGGACAATTACTTCTCATTAATCCATCTGAACGTCCTAACATAAATGAAATTCTTGGTGAATTATCTGAATTAGCATCTATGAGAGAAGTCCGAGTAAGTGGTTCTATTCCTCTTTTGGAAGAAGTTGCTAAAAGACGTAATGCGAACGTTACTACTACTTCTGTAACCCAACTATACAGTAAGTGATTGTTTAAACTGGCCACTACAAATTTTGTCAATCATATAAATTGTTCTTATTTGTACTTTTTCATTCTATGAAATGAAAAATATTTATATTTCGTATCACTAGTTGAATCGTAACTTGCTTCTTGTCATAAACGCTCGTAGAAATCAATTTATAATGATGAGACATTTTCATTTTCCGATTGACGTAGTGGTATGACTGTTTTAGTTGTACCTTGATTCAACATTTCTGGAGTTCTTAATTAAAGTAAGAAAACATTCTGACATAGATAAAGGGACCAGGATGTTTATGAAGTTTAGAATTTGATGTATTTAGTCTTACGAAGTATATATATGTATATATATTTCCTACTGTTTGAGATGTTTATTTCCAATAAATTGAGCGAAACAACGATGTCTTACATCGATACTGATATTTATTGTTTGACTATATGCTGCAAAAGCTTTTGTTTCAGTTCAATTTTTTAAATAACTACGTGTTGCTATAAAATAGTACATAGATCTTCATTTGGTGAATGAGTCATATACCATTATTTGCTTTGAAGTATGCTTACAGACCAAAGAATAGCTAAGTAAATCAGTTTATTTACTATTGATTGGTCACTCAAAGGTGACAGATATGTTCATACAGTCCTTTAGTACTGATCAAATTGTGCGGGCGCTACCTCAGGTGACTTGACATCATGTTCACTAAGCTGAGATGTCTTGTGACTAGAGGCATTCAACTTACCTGAAATCTTAGGGCTGAAACAGGTATAATATCTCTCCTGATTGTAGGCATTCTTTCCTACGGAGTATTAACTAACACAATCGCTAAATCCAGGGGTTTCCTACTGACTACCACCGGTTGTTTGCACCGTATGTTCCTTGATCTGTCTCTTTTCGTTCGGTCCTGAGGGTTCCAACTTAGGTCTTGCCTCGTGATGCAGCTGGGAGATCTCTGCGATGTGTGTCCTATCCTCTCCTAGTGCCTTATTTCTAATTACTTCCTTAGTTGGTATTTGGTTTGTTCTCTTACCGCCTATAACCATTTTGTCGAAGGCATATCGACTTGCTAACCTCTCACCATTTTTGTTCCTGTGATGTCTTCATTGCCACTACAGTCCATCCCAACCTTGACGTTTAGGTCTCCCATCAGAATGGTCTAGTCGTTTGCTGTGCGTTCTTGTACTGTTGACTGCAGCCTCTCGTAGAATCGATCTTTATCGTCCTCAATGTTTTCGTCGGTGGGTGCATAGCACTGAGTGTAGGATTTAATTTGTCCTACAGATGTACTGCTATGACTGTAAACACAATATTGGCGAATACAGAACAAGGAAAACTTGGCTCTGTTTCTAGACATAAATACAATTAGATTAGTACAATAAATAAGGAAATTACAGTTATTAAGTGAAACGATCAAACATACCAACCAATATAGTGTGTCTTATGCAAATGAATAAAATTATGAGTCATATCAATATAGTAAGATAATAACGTTCTCCAATCGGTAAGTTATGTACAACAAAGTTTACAGACATGTCAGACCAGATCACGTGGTGAGCGCTAGAACCACGATCTGATTGTTTAGTTATGGAGATAACTAACTCTGGATGATATCTTAATCCCCATTTTCTTTGTCTTGAAGGATGCTTTGATGACCCTGGGTACATGAGATTCCCATACGATAAGTGCTTTATGTGCTTCTGTGGACAATATTAGTGCAACTCCCTGTGCGTATTGGTTATTTTCTTTTTCATGATCGAAGTACAGCGACATCTCTCGTGAAGCTAATTTTTCTTTCAGCCTGCGTCCAATGTGTTTCACTTATTCTAAACATCACTAGGTCGTATCTTTTTATTTCCTCAGAAACTGGAATGGTTTTTCGGTCTCCCACATTGTGCGGACATTCTATGTACCTATATTAGTGGTTGCTCTGGTTGTGAAAAGGGGCATCATGAGGCGTGATAACTCTTCTAATTGAAGACCTAACTCTCAGGGTAAAGTTTAAATAGTTTAAATTATTTTTCTGGTTAGCGTTTTTTAACAAGTTTTTTTTTGCGATATGGGATTGTTGACCTTATGCGCAACCCTTCTTCTTTATGCTGGCTTTGGATCAGCAGTAACTCTAGATAGGCTCCAGACGGAGCTTTTCAAGTAATTTTCATCCTATGATCAAATTTCGAAGACTTTGAAATATCGCAAATTTATTTATTCCCCTATTCTTTATAGATCGCAATGAGCCTAAAGTTAAAGAATGTTACCCAGTATCAATGCATACGGAAGACAATCTTATAATAAATCAACAAGCAAGTCCACAGTTACCATCTGATAAACCATCTAGACCGAATCCTCCAACATTACTTTCACAGCAAAAATCAAATCCAGTAGTAGTTCATTTTAATTCTCCGTCAACATCATCGTCATCAACAATAATAATAACAACTCAAGCATCTACAACTAGCCAAATTACAAATAATCTACAATTACCAAATCAATCTGTGAGTAATATGTTTGATATGATTAAAGGCGGTGCTGGCAATTTAATTCGTAATATACGAGATGCATCAACTAAAGTTATTGGCACTGTTTCACCGTGAGTTTTATCGTGTATTTTTAGCGATGAATAATTTGTTTTGTTTATATTCTTACTCAAGCTATTTCATTTCACATCTATCTTGATATAATTATTCTAATAATAGCAATAATAATTATCTAGCCTTAATTTAGTTGGCATATAAGTGGTCTGCGAAATTTACATTTTTGTATTTGTTAAATGAAATCGATTCACTATTGTTTTTTACATTTATTGACCATATTGTTTTACTAGTTATATTGTCTTTTGATATCAGTTCATTTAGAACTTTTGACATCGATAATTTAATCTCGTATGTGAGGAGTTATAATCGACTATCTCTCATTATTGCATTACCAATCACTTACTGATCGACATTCTACTCATTTATTTTAACAATCATTATTACATTATAACTGTTACTGCCTATTTTTTCTGAATTGGGCAGGGGAGGGAACAAGAATATCGATTTCTCATCAGCTGTTTTATTTGAGTCACAAGTTACTTTTATAATACAAGTGTTAACATGATTTCATCCCATTTAGTTGAAGTGCTATTTTAATACTTTTGCTCTTTTTTTCAAACTTAATATCTCAGGATGGTTAATCACAATTTCACAGGTGATTTAGTAGTTAAGACTTGTTTGGCCTTCACTTATTTGACCACATATCTAAAGCTCCTACTTATTTCATTGGATTTAAGCAACTGAGAAATATTATGAGTCTCCACAGCGTTTAGTTTTTTAGAGCTGTAAATATGTGTTCCTAGTTTCGATCACTGGGTTTTAATTATTACCGACAGGCACCCAGATGGGATAAACCGTAGTATTAAACTCATCGATTGGCAATAACTGGATTGTATTTGAATCACGTTGTTGGTATTAGTCAGTGTGCTTTTTTTTATAAGTTCAATAAATAGCTTTCGAAAATGTAAACTCTAGTTAACACTATGTGATATTTCACGTTATCGCTTTTGAACAATTAATATTTATTCATGTTAGCGATAGGAGAGTGGCTTATAAAGAATTTTCTAATTCAACAAAAGTTTTTAATACTTTAGGTTTACGGAAACCAACTCATGAACTATTGAAGTACAAGTTATATTAGACATTTATTTTCACTTGACTGCTTCCGATACTGCTCATTATAACACCATCACTTCTTTATTTTTTATTGGAACAGGATCTTTTTGTAACCAAAAGGCTCATCACTGTTCTGTCTGGGGATGAATTACCTGTTTAATAACTTCATATGTACTCTTGCAAGTTATCACGTTATTACAACGTAAAAAATGTAAATCCGAATACCGGTAGTGTTTTGGGTGTGTATATGTATATTTCGTGCATATGATTTATCAGACAGACGATAAAAATAATTAGATAAACGTAGCTTGGTCTTTGACTATTCTTAATCAGAATATGCTCAGTTAAACTTAGATTAGCCCGTATGTAAAAATCGACAAAGGGTAGTATAGACAAATGTAGATCGACCAACATACATCTAAAATTCAACATAACTGAAAGGTCGGGATTAGTTATAAATGAATGTATACAATCTAACAAATCATATTCTAATGACATATAAAGAGGTCACATAAGTTCACCTAACGTCTTGTATCAGTCTATCATGTTTAATCACGATACACTCAAAAATTTTATAGTGCTTGTGTTTCATATATATATGGGGCCTCTGCATTTTAGTGATGACGATCCTCATTTTTTTATCAGTAGATCCCGGGCTGGAAAATGCCCTCCACCTACTTTTATTTGAACAGCCAGCCAACCGAGTGAGGGTTGGAGGTAGTGGATTGTTGAATTGCGGTTGAACTGTTTATTAAAGCTTTCTGGTCATCACTCCTGAATTGAGAATGAATAATAGTCCCACCTTTTCCTGAGATAGTTTCACCAACAGCCGGATTTCTAATACCTGTTTCTTTTGATAAGTCTGAACAACTGTATATTGTTATCTACTACCATTTCCATCTCTTTTGCTTTCGGTACCCATCACTGCTCACAATTATTATGTAGGCCTTTCATCAGCATATGTTTAGACTGCCCCCGCTTCTCATCGTATTCGGAATTAGGCGGGATGAATTTCTGGGCGTCTTTAAATACGGTAAATGGCTCCGAAATCCACTAATTTTCCCCAAAATTTGGCTTAATATACTGAAAGATGTCACTGCTGTTTCCACAGCTTTTTGGATGTCATACCAAGCCACCCCGTGTTGCATATCACTTTCATGGTTGACGAACTCGTATTCTAGTTGTTGCTCAAACAGTTTTAACTTTTTCATCATTAAGCTAAACTCATGAGGGTTTCCTTACTGTGGCTTTCCTACATTTAGTAAAACAGACCAATACGTGCTCATACCGCAGTATGATCTGAATCTAAACATATGCTCCAGAATGAGCAGCAATCTTCTATTCAACCTCTCCATCGATGGCTGATGGCAATGTGATATATTTGAGTCCATTGTCGAGTCAGTTATGAAGATCGTAATATCAGATAATATCTTTTTTTATGTTTGAAGTTGGCGCTTGCTAAGAATAAACGGTTCCATGAGTATAGTTGCAATAGACGTTCGCAGTTGTTTGTTCTCTGAGCTGCAACACTGTTAGATCTGCCTACATACCTTTCACTTGGATTTGTTCTACCTACATAGACGTTATAATTACATTAGGGTGTTTGGATTTTTCAAGGAAGTTGGAAAGTTTTTATAAAGTTTATATTTTACTTCATCTGAGCCGCAATCAGTGGAGTGTAGGTAGATACACTAACAAGGCAATAACGTGCTACAATTTTTCGAGTCTTTACTATCCAGTTTAGTTGAACAGCGCGCAAGTGACTGTCTATTGGAATTCACTCTAGGCGAACCTGTCCTCTTTTTGAACTTAATGGAATAAATACACCAGAAAGGTCACAGGAAGTAGAAGTGGAGTCTGCAGATGCACAAAGGGTAAATCGTGAAGATTCTTCACATTGAAAAGTTCCAGTTAAGTGAATGTTGTTTTACTCCTATCTTATGAGCCTTTTGAAGACTCAGAACATGTAGGTTGTTCAAGACTCTAAACTTCTAGCTAAAGAAGCCTATTGTCCTAATTGGCACAAGGTTTGAACATTAAAAGAAAGATCAGTCATGGAGATCAGAGAGTTATTAAGAGGTAGGAAGAAGGATTCGCTCATGAAAGAGTTGGTCTCGTGTGCTATCAATAGTATGGCGGCGATTGTCACTTACTGATGCCCACAACTTGGAAGGGTATTTCTTCTTTAGGGACTTAAGAAGGGAGCTGGGTTATTGTTGTTCTCAGTAAATTTGAAGCGTGACCACAGAGTTCAAAGAGCAACTTCTTGTGGCTAGTCACGCACGCACTTTTATGGGAAGTTTCTAACTCTGCACCTCAAATGACTTTACCGCCGAAGATGGAAATCTGTGGGATGAGGTGAAGTGTGACATTTTTAAGATCGACCATTTCTAACCACTTTGTTCCGTTATAAGAAGACAGCATTGCTGAAGATGTAAGTTATCTGAGGCAGACATTTTACTACTATCACACCTCTAAAGTCAGCAGTACGACTTCACCCTCAGTCCTCAAGTTGCTGCTCTTAGTCATACTACCATTCTCCAATCGACATGCCTGACATAGTAGGACCTAAATGAACCTTTTGTTCCAGCCAATATAGCTCATTCGCTTCATCACGATAGGCGAACCCGACTACCACATCAAGGTAATGACTGCCAACTCATGTATGCCAACGTTTGATAATTTGCGCAAATTTTGTACTTAGAAATATTGTCTTTGAGTTACATAGTAATGATGCAGTTAGGTTATAATAAAAGCTTTCAATATGTATAGTGTTTTACCAGAGCATCTATCTCTTTTCGTTTCCTTATCTTTCAGCACATTAAATACAGAGCTCGATTTCCAATTTATCACTTCACGTATAGCAGGTTAGTAATTGTTAATAATCATACAGTAATGTATTAGTGTTAATATTTTATGACAGTTTCTGTAAGTTATTTATTTTATTTTCTGATTTTTGTTGCAAACTGTGTCAACATGAACTTATTCATGTTGTTGTAAACTTCTTAACAGCAGTCACGATAACCTACGACAGGTTTGAATACGGAATTATAGAGTTTTAAAAAATAAATATAGTTCAGATTACATTCCCCCACCCATACCATTCAGTGTGTTGTATGATTGATTCCTCACTCATACAGTACGCTTGTTTGTAAAGTTGAGAATAACTTGCTACCAGATATCTGATACCATCAGTAGTTAATTTTGGTTTTATAAACCTCAATGGTGTTTTCATTCTGGATTAGTGCTATGATTATGTTCTTCAAGTTACAGTCAAAATTTACCTAATATAATCTGATTCTCAATCATTTACTGATACCAAGCTCAGTAAATACAAACTTCATATTTACGGTGAATTTTCATTTTTGACAATCATGATACAGATATCAGCATTCTAAATATGAATGTCCAAAGACTCTGATACTTCTTGAGTGCCTAGATTGAAATAGTTGGCACGGGATGCCAATATTTAATCCAGTTGTTGAATGTCTAGTTTTCAACTAATTGATCCGCTATTCCAATATAAATCTACCTAATTGAAAAGGAGTTTTGTAGCTTATGTCACTACTATTTCAGCATGTATTTTATTTTTGCCATAATATTTAAGGAGATAAAATTTCACTTTGTTTGATACATGAACACTTGATACTGTCTTTATCACCACTTAGTATCCCAAAATCTACTCCACTTGAATTCCGCATGAAAGCCAAAAGGTAAGAAAGGTGGAAATAGCCTTACTTTTAAAGTTACGGTTAGACATAAAAAATAAACATATTTATAGAATAATACATGATACTGATACCATAGAAACTTCAGGACACATGGCAAAACTAGTAACAAAATTAGGAATTACTTGATCAGAATGTAACACAATTCATAGTTTTTCCAAAGCTCAAGAAAATTTAATTTTTATGCTAGTTAAACGATGGACTTTCAGCCTTTTCCAATGAAATTTTGAAGGCTCCCGCCGCCTATTCTCTTGTGCAGAATACGATTGTCTCATTGGGTCTAGTAGAATGGTCCCAGTAGCTTCCTGTATTTTGCAAGGCTTTATCCGTTCTTTAACTCTTCAGTTTCTTTATTTCTCGTCATTGACCGTGTTAACTTGGGAGGTATCCATGATTAGTTCCATTTTCTTAGAAGAACATTTTGAAAAATTGAATTAGAAACCAGGGAGTCTGGTACCTCGACACTTTTCACTGCATTAACTCATGAATTTCACCTGTTATTTAATGGCCAAAGTTAAGAATAATCGAATTCGCACACATGATTCTTGTATTTGTTTTACTTTCAGATGTCGAGTTTTCGAAAATTTGTCATTTTAACTATCACTCTAGAATTCAAAAGTACTCACTAAATTATAAAACAGTTTATTTAGCAAAGAAATCCTTTTCAACGAGCTCATTTTCAAAGCTGTGAAATTGTTTACGTACATATGCGATAAATTATAGGACAACAAATAATTTTTTCCGCTAGACGACTATGTGAAATGTGACTACATCTTTTTAAATAAGCAAAATGTTATTGAAACATGAGTAAAAGTATAATATACTAACGACGTTGAGCGACCCGTCAGTCTAGTTATCAAAGAATTAAAAGCATGAGCAGTGAAATAACAGCGGAATTATAACTTTTTTTGAATAATTCACCCTCACATATCGAACTACTCCTTTTCTGGTTAGGTTTGTGTTAGAAGCCGGGCTAGTGTTGAGTCAGGGTTATCACTCCACTAATTTTCCGGAATTAAACCTGTATCCCACCTGCTGAGTAGTTTAGAGATTAACTGTTCGAGTTTGATATCGAAAGCCTTGGTTTTGATTTCAGGTGGTTAGGTAGTGGACACTACTGGGGAAAGCCCTACTAGATTGGGACTGTTGTCCAGTGCCTCTAGGTTTTCAATGGTTTAACTTGGATAGGTTCATAATTTCAATAAGATTCAACAATTTCTACAACCCGATACTGATTTTTCTTATTTTGATTTTTTAGTTTAATTCACTATCTTTGCATAACTTCATTATCCTTTATGTTTTAGTTACATCTTTCCCCACGGAAAGTGGATTTGAAGTCCTTGCCAATGTGAATTCCATTGAAGAAATGCAAAATATGCTTGATGCACGTTTTCCAGATGCCTATGCTGTTTATAATCTTAGCAATCGTCCATATCGTTCAGATCACTGGTTTCATGGTAGAGTATCACATCGCGGTTTCGAAACACACCGTGCTCCTTCATTAAAAGCTTTAATTGAATTATGCCTAAACGCTAGACTATGGTTAGCTCAAAAACCGAACAATATATGTGTTATTCATTGTACTGATGGTAAAACATTATCCGCAGTATTGGCATGTTCTTTATTATGTTTTTGTCAAGTATTTGATAATGCCTCACCTGCAATTCAGTTGTTTGCATCGAAACGTGGCAATCCTGGTTTGAATGCATCACAGATTAGGTATAAAGACTGTTCTTTCCAGGTTTTATTCTTTTTATAATCGTGTTCTCTGTATGTGTTGCACGTTAGATTGTTTTTATCTGTCTTGTTCTTGAATTTCAAAGATTTAATGATTTTTAAGGATAATTATAAACGTAAAATAATTAATTGAGTAAAAATAAGCAAACGAAATTAGTATAAAGTGAGAGTAATAGTTCAGTTAGAAAAAGAATCCTTTCATTTGAGGTAGTTCCTCGCACTTTTATAGAGTAAAATAATGTTACAGCAAGTCTGTCATGGACTTCTATTCAAATCCATGTTTAGTAACATTTCAAACCATTGAGCTACCCTATCTCAAGGACTCCAACTAAGGGGTCGTGATGCACCGACAGATGTCAGTCCTATACAACTTTACTTCATACCCCGACGCTACTTCATAAACCGACCACATTTCCGTTCTTAAAAACAATTCCGAGCGTCAGCAAGTAAAACAGGATACAAAAGTCGCTGGAATGGCATTCGTGGCACATGCCGAAGCTACCAATGTCTCAAAACGGTGACACCAAGTGAGTTATCATCGCTGCGTCCTAACATACGTTGCGAAACATTCTCATTACTAACATAATGCTGATGCATGGTAGATACGTCTGCTTTCCAAACTGCACAGACGGTATTTTCTTGATGAGAATCGATTAGGAGTCAAATAAGTAGTCGATTTGGTTTTTTTGAGGATCATACACTAATACACTAGCTGATGAAACAGTGATCAATGCCGGTTTCATTATACTACGAGATCTCTTTTAGATGTTGATCTAGCTAAGATCAGTTTTTGATTTCAACTGTGAAAATTCAAGTCTTCACAACTCCCTATATTAATAAAATCGTAATGGCGCACACACTTACAACCTTAGAATAGAAATCACATCGTTCATCTTTGCTTGTAAGCGCACTGGAACATTCTACCAGAAACTTTCTTCGAAGTAAACAAATCTCTACAGAGAATTATAGATTCAAATGGTCTTTCTAGTTGGTGCCATTATTTAATCTAAATAATACATGATCATTTTTAACTCATCGCCTTCACTTCTATAGACGTGGATTTTATCCTGCTTATTGATTGTATTATACAGCGAATAAATATAATTAAATCAGTTGAATGAATTCTAGTTTTTTATCCCTATTTTTCTGCTTATTTATATAGATATATTGATTATGTGGCTCAATTAAGTCATAATCGTGTATTTACACCGCATCATTTTCCATTGAATCTTATCAGTTTGATAATTGCACCGGTACCAACGTTTAATAAATCCAAGTAAGTACTCCCTTCACTTGTTGATGTTAAACTGTGTTTATCTTGAACATTTTTCGTTTATTGAAATAGTTCTTTCACAATCAATGAGCTCGTATTTGTTTTCTGTTGTCACTTTCATGCACTAGATAAGAAATTATTGATCTTCTGATTTTATGTTTCCAACACAATGTTCTTTGGTACGTGTTTTTTCTAACAGTCATGAATTAACGTGGATTATGAAGACCACTTTATCAATTGTGATTCATTCATTTTTCGTATTCTTCTCTGATTGAGATTTCATCCCAGTCGAATGATCCTTGATTGAATCTGTTTTCTATTCTTGTTGCCTCGCTTAAAGAAAATCAGAGTAATAATTAGATAAATTTACCAAGATAATGACTTACAGTTAAATCCAAGCCTCATCTTCCATACTGTTTAAAAATCATTAACTGAATGTATCTGTATCACAACGTTGATGCTTATTCTGAGACTCGAACTCAGTCTTTTTATCTTAGGGTGTCAACATATTATTCACTCAACAACTGAGTCCAGATAGACACTAGCTTTTGGCACCCGTATCGATTCTATTTTTAAGGGCTTGTATTTTCCTGTTGCACAATTTGAGAACTAAAATTGATTCGTTTCTAATAGAATGTGTGCATCTTCATTAAATAGGCTTAATTTACTGCTTGGTCAGAAATTTTAATCGAATTCGGACAGTAGCCAGAAGTGAAATACAGGACACAGTTTTCGTACTATTTGTAGCTAGTTATCGGAACGAAAAGTTTTTATTGTCTCGTCATAATATCAACTTAGATGTTGTTTATCGAATAATCAGAATTTCATCAGTCAGATAATGTATATATTCTAAATATATGTGAAGGTTTTCAAAAATGCCAAGATAACTAGAGTACACTGTTTTTGATAAGTTTCCATTTACCTTATTTAGTGACCCGAATAATGCGTTTTGGCTTCAATCAAATCGCTATCAACTTACATAGTATTTTGCTATTGCACTTACCAATTCTACCTTATATTATTCTTGTAATGTTTTCATTAGAACATATATTGAACAAAAGAACAAGTAAATCGATGAATACTACTTATTTTACAGTTCCCAAATGCATTTGCTGAAATAATGTACTGCAAAGAATAATCTACTTACTGAACATCTTCCTCTTTCATTTATATCTCAATAAGTGTTTCTTATGCATCATTTATCCATGTTCGTTATTGAGATGTAGTTTTCATTCACATTACTGCTTGCTTACTTACTGACGGATGTTACCCCCGATGAAGAATAGGCCGCTGACCAGCATTCTCCAACCTACTCTATCCTGGGCGCTTACCTTTCCACTTCTGTCTAAATTCGGTTCATTCTTTTTATATCTTTCTCTATTTCTCAGTGTAATTTGTTCTTTGGCCTCTCTCTTTTCCTTTGACTTTGAGGGTTCCAAGTGAGGGCTTGTCTTGTGATGCGATTTGGTGCTTTTTGCAATGTGTGTCCTGTCCACTTCCACCGCTTCTTCTTGATTGCCTCCTCCACTGGAATCTGTTTTGTTCTGTCCCACAGTAGGTTGTTGCTGATGGTGTCTGGCTAACGGACCTGTAGTATTTTGCGTGGACAACTATTCTTGTATCTTGTGGATGATGGCTTTTGTAGTTCTCCAAGTTTCCGGCCCATACAGTAGAATTGTTTTGACATTTGTATTGACAATTGTAATCTATGTAGCTTTGTGTATGCGTTTATGTGGGAATATTGTGCCACCGATGACCAGTTTGTTGAAGGCACATAGGTTTGAAAATCTCTCACCGTTTTCGGTTCCTTCCCCCTAGTCCATGTCGTCCCATGATGTCTTCATATCCAGTGTTGTCCATTCCAACCTTGATATTTAGGTCGTCCACCAGGCCAGATCCTTCGATGAGCATCTGTCGACGATTGAATCCAGCCTCTCGTACTATCGATCTTTAGCGTCTTCGTTGTAATCGTCGGTAGGCTCATAGCATTGAATGACGCTCATTCTAATTCCCTCTTTCTGTGTTTAGAAGGATGCTTTGATGATCCTAGGTCCATGAGATTCCCATCCTATCAGCACCTTTTGTGCTTGTTTGAACAGCATCAGTGCAACTCTTTGTGTGTGAGGCATTTTCTTCATGGCCGGATTATAACAGGTGCACAGATATGTATGTAATTGTCTATGTTCTCGGTTCAGTGGTATGTAGTACATACATACTTGAAGATCATTTTAAGAAATAACGATTAGAAACTTGATACTTTAACCGAAATCAATGACAATTATAATAATCCTAATGATTCTACAGATATGTATCACTTATTTTTTTTATCTCAGAAATGGATGTCGACCGTATGTGGAAATATTTGAAGGGAAGACCAGAGTATGCTCAACTTACACAGATTATGATAATTTAAGGTAATAATATTAGCTTATTATTATTATGTGTATTTTACTTTTTGTCTACTATTGTACATCAGTTAATTTCATTTTAATAAATAGACATCTTTGTTGAAAAGCTTAGTTTAAGTTTATCATCATTATTAATGTATCATCAATATAATCTCTATATAAAATCTAAATTTCAAGTTTACACAATAACGATGTTCGAAAGGTATGAAACTAAAAAGACTCCTCTGGTTGTTATTTTCCATCTGGTTAATGATATCAGTGTTTTTATCGGCTAAGCCAAATGACAAATGGTTGCAGAACAATATGTATTGATATAGGACATACTTTCAGATATTATAGGAAGTAAAAATTAATCGAATTGTTACATTTTTTTATTCTCAGAAAAAAAATAGGAACAAGAAAAACCTATCACCACAGTACATATAGACATAGACCAATTGTTAAACGATTCCTAACATCTTTAAACAACTACTCAAGGCGTTTATGAAACCTAGATTCTGTCAGCATTCTTTTGAAATAAGTCTGTATCATTTGAATACACCAATCAGATACATCGTTACAATAAATTATTGAGTAGTAAATTAATGTAACTGCTTACTGAACTACATTTCTGTGTATTGTACTTTGCACCATACTGTGTAACAGGTAGTGATGCTAGTTTTCCCCTACATTTAGACTGTGTTGTGGGATTGATTGCTGTAACCCAATGTTATAAACTAGGCTGTTTGGTTTAACAGATTCAGATTGTGTTTTGTATGTATGCGAAAATTTGTGCTAATGAGCGTAATTTCATTTCCAGATCACTGATTCCATCAATGTCAATTTTAAACGATTGACTATCATTTCTGTTTATGGGTTGATATCAGTTAAAAATAAGACAATATATCTTGCACTTTTTTCTTGGTATTTGCTCTGTCCTAACTAATATTTAAAAGAAAAATGACTTATTTCCATCAAGAGCTTGACACTAACTATTTTGCAGAATAAAAAAATCAATATATCGGTACTGCTCAGTACACACCAACTTTTGCAAATCTGAGATAACCTTGTGAAAGAGCTAGTATTACTAACTAGTGTTTCAGATCGAGTTAAACTGATTCAGCAACTTTACGGTTGACAGTCAAACGATCGAGTGCCTTTGAGCGAACTCACAGACTAACAGCACAGATTTCAGTATTCTTGGCGTTCCAGTGGAAAAATTTATACTTGTTTTGTTTATGTCTTGATTTTATTATAGATCCTATGTTCTTGAAGATGGAAAGATCCAAATACTTTTGAATGGATTAACTGTCTTAGGTGATCTTACAGTTATCATTTATCACTGTCGATCTTCATTCGCTGGACGTGGCAAGGTAACTCTATCTTATATACTTGCATAACCTTATGTTTAAATATAATGCATCCGTTGTTTACAGTACAGTAAATTTAACACGAGTTTTGCTTGTTCTCGTAATAAGTAACTCCAATAGTCTCATAGAATGTAATGTTTTTTTTTTTTAAAAGAAATTGCGAATTAAATTGTTTAACAAACAGTGTGAAGTTATTTGTACTATACTATTCAGCATAATATATTAAACATTATCACTTTCGTATTAGATTTGAAGAAATGCGACTGTTTTTCAGAGAGCAGCTAATTCACTGCATTCACTATTGTACAGTTGATTCTAGCATTGTCTACAGTGATATTTACTAGCTAACTCTTTCTATTATGAATGACTAAAATCAATGCCAAATAAAAGGTTGAATAAGTTCATGAGAAAATAAACAGATATTAGTATTGTTTAGAATGAAAAGTTAGAACTCACAGATAGTTGTGTTAAATTCAATGACTTAAATGATACTGCAACTGACTTTTGATCAACTCTTACTTAGTCTTCTCATTTTTTGTTCTGGTCAACATTATATGTTATCAGACTGATTAAACAAATAATCCAACTTATTCAGTTCTTCTTTCTTCTAATTATTATTACATTTTGTTAGCTTATTTAATATTGTTGTTTTGGCTTAATTTATTATGCATATATATGCTGGCTAAGAAGTTCATAAAATAATTACGAATTCTGCTATTTTTCTATGTATAAAATTCCAAATTATTCATGACAATTTCATCATATCGATCGAATCAACCAATTAGTGTGTGAGTAGCTTGAAACATAAAACCTTTAGTACTATATATCTACTATCATTATTCACAAGATTAATTTTGTATCAAAAATCTTACAACTGGATGACAACAATCCAATAGTAATTACCTGACCAAAAGATAGTCACAACTAACTACTACCAATGCATCTCTTATAGACCCGTATTAATTCGCTGATATATCACGTGGTTATTATCTTTGTAATCTTGCTTAATTGATTAACCAAGATCGTTAATCCTGTAAACAACTCAGTTTCATTTGATGTGAAACTAAATTTTATTATTATTATCATCATTATTATTAATTTAAATTATTAAAACACATTATTAGTGGTACAGACCAGCATCTAAATATATGCAAAACACAAATCAATGGATTTCTTTGTGAACTAGGATACTACCCGACTAAGTTAACTGAAGCAAGTGATTTACTTGGGGCCCTGGGCCTTTTTTGACCAAGAGGTCTAGTACAGAAGACAGTAGAACAACGTCAGTATTTTTAGTCCTCTGGTAGCCATTGATCAACATTAGATTCACACATCATTCGATCCTTCAGAATCCTGGAGCCCATAGTTTAGCATCGAAATCTGTCAACTCCACTAGATAGAAGCTCCAGACCCACTAGCCCGCCTAACGCACCAAACGTTGGCTTATCGTCCTCTCAAATTCGTAAATGACACTTAATTTAATTTGCTAACCGGTCAATAATTTCCAGTTTCTTGTCGCTATTATCTTTTTAATGAACTGTTTGTTATAAGGTGTAAGTTATGGTCAACTCATTGTATAGGGAGGAGCCATTCAGAGTGCAGAAAATCGCCTCCGAGTTTCGTGCTAAATTTAAAGGTAGAACCACTTTTATGCTTCATCACAGAAAATGCACAAGGGCCATTTTTCGTATACAGTGCTCGGAATACTTTAAATGCATAGGAAACATTCCATTTTTTTTTCCTTATACAGTAAACATTGCAATGTTAGTAAACTTTATTATCCCGTTAAACTGACACGTTTCACTGCTTCGTTGATTAATTAAACAATAACTTATTGACACAATCATTTAAAGAATGACTCAGACTCTTCCCTACACTGAGTTTTCACCAAACGTATAGACTAGGCTAAATCACTACGAAACTGGCTCACTAAGTGAACTCATTTCAATTTCGACTTATTATTCTTGCGTTTTTTTTCTTGGTCTATTGTTTAGAAATGTCATGTATATGCATATACGTTGTTCTTTTCACATCAATTTTTGTTGTTGTTATAGATCAGTTCAGTGAAGATTGCTCAGTTCCAATTACACACTGGATTTGTGGAACACAATCTAACTGAACTAATTTATTTTAAGTAAGTCATTTGCATAGACTGTATGTATATCAATAAAAAATGGTTGTGTAACAGTAGTTCATTTGGTAATCGATAATTTTGACAAACGATTTTTCTTTGTGATTATATCCAATATTTGATCTTTTTCAAAATGAATTTCTTTGATTTCTACCTTTTTCCAAAAACTATATCGAATAAGTGTGTAAATACAGGTTTTTGCATGTAATGATATTAAGTTGTGCAGACAGTTATCTTCAAGAAGAAAAACATGTTATTATCTGCTAAACGTCTTGTACAAACTATTGAATTCATATAATATCAGTTACGTTCATGTCTAGTAGTGTGTACTTTAGATTATCGTGTCATACTTCAATGTGTAAGTTTGAACCACGATGAAAATTATCTGTACAACGTGAACTGACCTCCTGGCTGATCACATAACCTCCTTTTTTTCTCTTTCAACCAATAACTATGTTAAGTCGGTCAAGTTGATTTATGAGTCGATGGCTACAATGAAATAGATTGTATAATTACGTATGATAGGCAAAAAATGTGAGTACTATGGCGGATCAGATCAGTGTAATGTTTTTGTGTATACAGTCCAGTTACTTTCTTGGATTAGATAGCTGGAATTGTAATTTTATTTTTTGGATAGACCAAGTTAATAAGGTTACTCAGACGTATGTGAAACTTAGAACAACACATACAAAGTGAATAAATATGATTGTTTTCAATTACATCGTCATCAGACTCTACTCTAATATACATGACTATGTATATGAAAATATTAAATCAGTCAAGGTAATTAATTTATGAGTGAATGAGCACAATGAATTCGATTGTATAATTACGCATGATAGGCAAAGAGTATAAGTTGATAGTAGTAAGAAGATTAGTGTAGTAGTAGTAGTAGTAGTGTAGTGAATGAGAACACAGGTGGGGCAACCGAATTGTATTTAACGAAAATTACAGAGTTACTCAGTAAAATCGGAAAACCATATCGTAAATCGTTCATTTGCAAAAGATCAGTTCATCCTATGGAACTGGACTGTTCCTGTTGCCAAACATCAATCCATTGTCACTATTCATGCGTTTCATACAAATTCCATTGTTTTCTAACTCTTCCTTTCTTGATCTTCCCCCCATATTATGCTACCAGACTTTACGTTGACACTCACGTTATATACTACTTATAAGTAGTTCGCACCACAGTAGTAGTAGTAGTAATGATGTGAATGAATGATGAAAGTTCTGATCAATAATTCAACACGAGAAGTAGCCTAAACTTGAATAAATAGATTTTATTCACAAAAGATGCACCATTCCACATTGTTTTCTGTTTTTTTGTCTTTTGAATGTTCCTTCAACAGATCTGATTTAGATCATCTAGATAATAGCAGCAGTTTTGCCGGTTTCACTAGTCGTTATGCTGAAAGCTTTCATGTTACATTGGAATTTATGGTTTCGCCAACTGAACGACCAAGACAAAGTGATAATCTTGTTTACCCTTGGGAAACTCTACCATCAGCTGACCTCCTTAACCCTAAACTGTGTGTATCAAATAATGATGAATTGAAAAAGATTTTATCTGATTACGGTAAGACGTGTTGTAAACAAAATTGTATGGGATAAATATTTGAGGAATCTACATCACTTACATTTTTTTGAATAGAATGAGGTCAATCTTATGTTCGTATTATGAGCACAAACTATTGTCATAGTTTCCAATTACATTTGGCCCTCCTTATGAAAGAAACATTACAGGTATAATAATAATAATAATGAAAATAATAATAACAGTTCAAATAGATAATGTACTGTTTAGATCCGACACATACAAAGTCGTACTTAATTATCTAAGCAGCAGAAATTACTTTTTTAAAATGATTATTCTTTTGAATCACATGATTTCTAAAATATCGTTTTCATTCATCTTAAAAATGAAAGACCGCAATCGGGCTCATTTTTTTTCGGGTACTGAGATTATTTGTTCAGTTTTAAACGAATCCACTTCTTGAATGAGATAATTTGTAGAAATAATTCGGTATTATGTCATGTAGATTCGAGGTTCGTTCTTCCTCTTCTATAAGTTCTTTTTTAATTCGGAGATATCTTCAGTTTACTACTCTATTTTATGTATAACGGATGGTCGAGGCTATCCACAACATTTTTCATGTTCATTAGTTCGTTGATATGATGATGACAGATGTGCGAAGAGTTCAGGACACTTGGAGTAAAATCGATAATCAGAATCGTAATATAATCTATAACATTTAATCGTTAAATGAAGAAAAGACACCGTAAGTTGTAAGTGCACAACATACTTGATGAATATTGAAAATGCGTTGCGCAAAACCTCAGCCATAATGAATAATTGTTGTTTTAATCGCATGAAGATCATCATGCTAACTTATTTTGTTTAGATCCCGTGTTTTTATTTTGACACTTTGCTTTTTTCCTTATCTAAAACAACTTATGGATTCAGGACGTTTCAATCGTAAACCATCAGCTGGAATGCATCAAGGAATTAGTTTACAACGTAATCAATCAAATGATCTATCAGAGAAAGATGACATAAGCACTAATAGTAATAGTGACATGTCATATAATTCAACAAATGAATCTGCTACTGCTCCCACCATTGCTACCAGTAATGCAAAACAAGATAAAGCAGAATTTAATGATATTTTAGTTGCAGATTTAATCAACACCGATGATATACCAACAAATAATAATCGTAATTACACTTGTCCATCAACTTCTTCTGACCATAATTACAAATTGGTGGATGATAAGGTTGATGAGGATTTTTCTTCATCTACTAAGAATCATGCTAATATTGACGATAATGATATGGTAAGTAATCTGATTTGTTTTATTTTTCATTGACTTATGTTTATGTGATTTTCCTCGCGAACTGGGACCAACTAAGTGATTAGGAAGTAAACTACACTACAAAGTTTATATACTTTGAAAGCCTGAACTTGTTATCTTTGTATCTGTAACTGTGTTATCATATTGTAAGAAAATGTACATGTTCAAATCTCTGAGTTTAACCCTGTCGGACATGAGACAATCATCACTAGTGTAAACGAATAATAGCTGCTCAATATCGCGAATTCATCTCAGCTGGAAATTGAAACCGCTTGATTCCGGTTTGGTGTTTTAAAGGTGTTAAGGTCTCTCTACAAGCACATAAGGATTTTGTATTCGATCGTCAGTGAGATCTTCAATGCACATGGATGAGATGTCACATACAGGAATAGAACTGCTATTAAGGGTTACTTGTTTAAAATGTTTGTTCAACTACACAAAATCCGTGGGGTATAAACTGTGAAATATAACAATCTACAGTGTTCTCCTAATATCTTGTTTTCACCTCTATATCTATGTATGGGTATTTAATTCAACTGAAATCCTTCCTTTTTATACCCATCAGTTTACGCTTCATTACTATATCAATTATTTGTTTTATTATAGTATTGTCAGTTTATTTTTATGCTGACCTAAAATGTATTTACATTGCCAAAAGGTTATATTTAATTGGGGAAAATTTTTCTGCGATTTGTAGACTTTTTGTTTTGAAATACAAACTGAAGTTTCTTAAAATGTTTTTAAATAGTACATTCATTGTTTAATTATTTCTTCTAATAATAATATACATTAATAATAATAATAATAATAATTTAGACTTTTAAAAACAAACAACCGTTTCTTCAATATCATTTTCAGTCATTTGTCTTATATTACTAGTTTCCTATGTTGAATACAATCAGTTTTTCGTTAGAGAGTTTGGTACGTCAATGAACACGTTTAGGGACGGACAAATAATTCATTTCGATACTTCACCTCGCCGCCTAAAACACTTACATAAGTATTAATGTTTTATCCTACATTCTCTCTATGTAAATTGCTACTAATCTATTCGAACATCTATCTGTTCACCAAATAAACAGTTCCTATATTTCCTGTAGAATACTGAGTTTATCAGTTAATAGCAATATGAGATAACGTTTATTCAAGTTGCATCAACGTATTGTATTAGGTAGGTGGCGAACGCCTTCACACAATCAAATATTTATTCAGTTATTTTAATAGATCAATAAACCAATCTATTATGTTTCTGTAATAATGTAAAGATGACAACTAAATCTATATTACTTCAAAGTTTGTAGTAATCATTTACAGTTGTATTCGTTTAATTTTTTTCATAATGTAAACTATCTTTATTTCTGTTATTCGTCAGTTTTCATCCCTTAATGTTAACTGTTTTACTCATTGCTTTAACTACAGAACAAGCTTGGAATAAGTCCAACAATATCGAATTAACAAAACAACATTACTAATGAAATGCTGAACATAGAAAAGACTTCATCATACCACTGAATCATTATGTTGGCTGATTAGTTTCACCCTATGGTATTCACCATTTTCGACATTTTACAGTTTCTTGATTGCTTTGGTTCAAGAATAATTCACTGAACAGTCGAATCTTTCTAAAATTTCGTTGAAACTATTCCGTATCGTTAGTTTTAATGAATAAACGTAATCAATGTTTTCAGCTCTGCATTTTCATCTACGCGTATTGCAATCATGCATAGCAGTGAACTTTTACTCTGGACTATTTTGCTCACAGTACAATTGTCTGTTTATTTTAAGTCTGTATTTTCGTGTTTACTCCTTTGCAGGAGGCAGGTTATAATGACTTGCTTGGACTCAATGTGGAGTATTCAGTTCCAACCGCAAACACTTCTACAACTGCTGCTAATACTGAGGATCCTATTTTAATTGATATAGCCCAAAATCCGTTTGTGATCTATAATAAAAACTCAAAAGATGAAGTCATCACTTCATCAACAACTTGTCAACATAATAGTTCAGATGAATTGAAACAAACCGATAAACAATTATTTGTTGATGATTTATTCAATTTCAATTCAACTGTCGAGAATAATTCAAAAACTGATCTTGGTTGGGAGAATGTATTTGGCTTCGCGTCATCAGAAAGTGCACAGACCACCAGCACCTCCAACAACACTACTACAAGCAACATTGGCTTATCCAATAATCCTTTTGATCCATTCGGTATAGCCACGTCGGAATTCTCTGATTTGTTTTCGGCACCAAATTTACAAAACAGCTCTACTACTACTAGTAGTAGTACAACACTTCCTAATACAACTGCTGTTACTACTGCCTCTCCTCAGACTTCTACTACCACTAATACCAAAGATTATTTTGGACAACAAGGTGGTCGTTTAAGCGCAAGCACCAGTGCTACGAATTTTAATCCGCTTTTCGCATCAGCTTCTTTTACAAATTTATCACCTAACGTTGAAACTATTTCAGATAAGACTAGTACCACAACAGCTACTGCTACTGGCATCAAGAATCCTGATCACCTAGATCCATTTGCAGATTTTGCTGATGTACTTCGAGATCGATTAAATCAAAATTCTTCTGGTACTAATACTGCCAGTAATAATAATGCATATACCCCACCATCATCGAATAGATCATCTACAAACTTGGGTGGTTTTTCTGCTGGTCCCAGTCCAGCGCATCATTTTAAATGTAAGTTTCTCAATTGGTCTAATCTATTTCGCCTTGATTTTTTTTCATTGCTCGTATAGGACAGTTAATTGGATGCATTTTATAACATTAAGTAAGAATACTACGTGAATAAAATTCAATACAAAACCTTAGCAGAATGAATAGGAATCGTGTTGAATAACATCTTTAATTCATTAATTTAATACTTTTTTTGTGGTTAAATAATAATGAAATTTAAATTAGACATCAAATTTTTTTCTGTTTTTCCACATGTTTATTTCTTCTGATGCAGAATGGTAAAATGTCACAAGCCTTATAGTATTGTCGTGCTTAATTCGATTAAAATTTATGTAACCTTGGGAACCATTAACTGATGCCCAGTTTTCACTTGATCTTCAGTTGTTTATGTATACTGTCTTTAATGAATTGATTAAAATAGAACTGTAGATGTAGTATATCCGTTCAAGTTTTCGCTCTTGTAAAAATTACAGCCAAAAAGAAATAAATGTTATTCAGTGAACAAATTAAAAATTAAGTGTTTTCCCATACTTTTGCTACCAATCACTTGGATGCACAACAATTATTGATTTGGATTACATTATGATTTTCAACCGAATAGCTTTACTATTTTTGTAGTCTACTATTCCAATCATCTTATTTCAATGCATTCTAAAATGCATCACATTCGTTTTTAGAGATAGTGGGTGCATAGTTTTGCACCCGAGTTCTATGCTTGTGATTACTCGTCAAATGTGTCGAACCTGTAATCTTTATGGATCTGATATCTCTTGGTGAATTTTAGCTTGGACAACCCAGTCTCAGTGTTTAATGTAATTACAGAGCTATTTCGGGCTATAATTTACTTGTTGTAGCGTTGAGATATTTCTAGTGATTAGTCATTATGTAATGGTCAATCGGATGTTGGTCTAGTCCTTGGTTCTTATCAAAGTCTATTGGCCAAGTTTATTCATGCATTTTTAAAAGTCATTTTCTCATTTTTAGCTGGTATCGACTCAAAATTTACGCACAAATCTTCAAATAAAACAGACTCAAATCACAAAGACAATGCTTCTAATTTATTTCATGCCTATGAGAAATCCAGTCAATCTCATTCTTCCTATTCCAATTTCCCCAATACTAACACTACTACTGGATCAACATCAATACCAAATAGTGGAGGAACTGGTACCAGACCTCAGGTCGATAAAGATGCATTTTCTGACCTACTCGGGGGATTCGCTTCTTCTCGAACACACAATACCGATGATAATAAACAACCAAAAACAGTGAATCAGATTCGTCGTGAAAAAATGGCTAAAACCACCGATCCGGAACAATTGAAAGTAACTTTTTTCCTCCGATAAAGTTTAAAGTTCACATTGTTTTGTTGTTTCACTTTATCTATGCTACAGTAATTGCTAGTTTCTCCCTATCAAGTCTTCAAAAGCAATCCTTTGTTATTAAGAAGCTAGTAGAATTATAGCTTTAAATCTCACTACACTTATTTCGATTGTCTCATCCCATCAGATATTACATGAAAGTGTGCATCAACGTAAAATACTGATTTACGCCCTTAAAAAGCAAAATTCCAACATTATAAATTATTAGTTGTCATTGTGTTGTTTTCTTATTTCAGTCTTTTGACCTGTGTTATTCCAGTGTTAATGTCGTAGTAGACTTACATCACATATTCCCTCTGTTTTTACTGGTTATAACAGTGTAACTTGCAAACTTTGTTTGTTGCATAATGTCGTTTGATGAAAAGGTGGTTAGAAATTTCTGAGTAATTTAATTTAAAATTTATGTGACCGACCATCAAAGTAGTATTGTGATTGGAAATTATGTTTTTTTTAATCTTGAATATTTAGTAGGTCAAATTATTAATACATGGGATATGACATATAAACACCAACTATGAGTGGTGATCAAATAAATAACTTATCGATCAACTAACCTGAACATTTGTTATATTTTCGCTTACGCCACTAACAATAAATCTCTTAATTTTGTGACTATTCTTTGTGCTAAGGAATAAGTTTTGTAAACTTTTTTTAATCAAAACACCTAAACAGTTGGTGAATGTCTGTGATTTAACTGATTAATCGCAAGGTTATGTCGGTAAAATACAAGACTTGTTCGAGAAATTTACATTTCTTAAAAAGTACATAACTAGACCGCTTCTTAATACAAAGATCAGATTTACAATTGATTGACCTGTAATTCAAATAAATTCCAGCAATAATTGATGACATTAAGAACAGAATTTCACTCACTCTTTGTTAATAAAATAGACAGTCTAATCACTGAATTCTATATAAAATCATCTCGTTAAATAAATTAATGACTTTCTAGAATCAGTGGCTCGAAGGGGATAACACATTGGCGTTTACAGTGTTAGTTTAATAGGCTCGAGTCTCGTGAATATCAGAACTAGGATCGAGGTATATCTAACTGACGAATTCAATGTAAGACAAAACGTATGTCCTGGATTCCAGTGCTAAACAGAATCCATAAAATAACTAATGAGTCAAAAGATAGCTTATTCTTAGGTCTTTGTAAAATTAATCTTAAAAATCTTTGAATAAATGTTCATTAAAAGTAAATGAGCTAATTCATTGAAAGATAACTATCCAAGTAACATCTTTTTTCTCTTACAGCCTCCTTCAACTAGATTACCATCTTATGGATGTTTCTTTTCTAGTTCAATTACCACGTTACAGTTCAGTACATCAGTTTACTTAACACAAGAATAATCGTGAAGTATTATGCTCAGAATCATATTACAGAAATTCATCACGAGAACGCATAGCCGTAATTATAAAAATATGTACAATAAACCATTTAAACAACCAAACTCACAATATGGTTTAAAGCAGAATCTAAGTATAATTTTTAACACACAAAATTGTTTGGTACTCTCTAGGACACCAGAAAAGTACTATAATTTATAACAGTAAAATTCATTAGGTCTCTGTTTAGCTTTTAATCACGCGTTTTTACTTGACGGCTAGTGATACTCCCTAAATCGATATTAAGTAGGGTTCGAACCCGTAGTTAAGCTGTTAAGTCGAATACTTTAACCGTAGAGTTACTTCTTCCCACACACAGTTTTGCTCATTTTTACGTTTCATGAATACTAGACGCTGTTGATAACTATCAGAATGAAAAGTATTTCCAAAATCCTCAAATATACATGAAACATTGTGAATCGCTGACTTGTACATAATTTAAAGTGTGGCTGGACTTGATCTAAACATTTTATATCTGTATAGAACGTAAACTAGCGATTGCCTATGAGCATGCCTCTGGCTTGCAATAACTCGGAAACATGTGTACTATATGTGTACAGAAAGCGTACTTGGGAGAAGCTATCGCGTCCTATACTGAGAGTACTCAATAATGCTTATCAGCCCTTTTGGTTGCTTTACCAAGCTCCCAAATATGGTAGGACTCTTAAATATACTGGAGTGGGTTGACATCAACTCCACCTGCTACATGCGGTAGATAGTAGTGAATTCATCTGCCGTACATATATATATATATATATATATATATATATATATATATATAATTAGACTGTAGGAAAACGTCTGCCTATATGTATAAAATAGACTCGTAAGATTCCCGTCTGTTTTCATTAGTGTAGTGGAATCGATATCCACATTCTTGTTTTGCTCTTGTCGCTTCATATAGAACTCTAAATTATCATATTTTATTCGTTTATAACACTATAATTTTTTCATAATAAAATTCGGTTCTTTATCAGGTCTATGACTGGGCTGAGGGTAAAGATCGAAATCTTCGAGCATTACTATGCTCATTACCTACTATATTATGGGATGGAGCACGTTGGAAGAATGTTGGCATGGCTGATCTAATAACACGGGATCAAGTTAAACGTCAGTATCGAAACGCTGCTCGTGCAGTTCATCCTGACAAGGTAAGTTCAAATAACTGTCGCCAAACACTTTCTTTTCACTACACAAGAAGATGCCATAAAGCTTCGTGATTCCGTTTAAACAATGAACCCATCAGTGTCATAAATCCACTTAAAACCTGTAAGCGTGGAACTCCTTAGCAGTGCGCATCCACAACCCTACATACAGGAATCTAACCCAAAGACTTCAATCTCGCGCACGAATGCTTAAGCTCTAGACCACTGAATCGGCATCCGACGGTGGTTATACAATCCACAAAAGAGTTTATTCTCAAATTAATTGAAGTATAAAATCTTTAGTATACATTTATTTTCTATATTTATTTATTTGTTTGTTTGTTTCGATTTATTTAGTGGATGGGTACATCACACGAGAATATCGCTCGTCTAGTATTCGTTGAACTGAATGATGCTATGGCTGAATTCGATAAGGATGCTAACAATTCATCAGTAAATATGAATTTGTAACATCTTTTTTTTTTGGTTAACTTCATTCTAATTGATATGGTTATACTTTTCTTCATTTCTTCTGTCTTTACCGAATCGTGAATTTCTCTGTTTATCATGCAATTAATTAACTTATTGTATTCCTGAAATCTCTGAAATCATTCCATTCTGAGGACAAATACTTTTTTTGTGATTTATCGTAATAGGTCTTTTTATTCTATCTTTTTTGTTTTATTTATCCGTACACTTCCAGGGATCTCATATCTCCTACTGACAATCCAATGTAAATCTGTAATCTAGATAATGTTGATGATGATGATGATGATGATGATGACAATGATGGCGTTTGTATAGAGGAGATCAAATATTATTGATGCATTACTATCTTTGTTTTTACTTGTTTATCGTTTTTTTCTGATGCTGGTTGTGGGTAATTCTAACATTGTTACACTTTCTTACTACTCTCTCCGTCTCTCTTTAGACGATTTTCTTATCACTCTTTCTAATTCATTTTTTTAAATGTATTTTTCCCATGTGATCATGTGACTTATTATAATCATCATCAGATTTCGTCTAGTTCTTTCAAACGACCTTCTTCAGTGATATATCATTGATATTACTATTCATTAAAACTATGATTCTACATAGAATAGATGGTGGTGATAATCTATCTCTCTCACTCTTCCTCCTGTCTTTTCATTCACTTATGAATGGTTCTTTATTTATATTTACTTAGAAAAGTTCATCCCTTCAATAATCAAACCATTCTAATGTTTGTCATACATCATCACTTATCATCCAAAAAACAAGAAGGAGTGAGATATTTCCTGTCTGTTTTACCTAAGTTGTGCAATACAAGCGCCTGTTATAAAAAAACAAACAAACACATTATATGCTTACACTCACATAGGATTTGTATATATATATATATAGTATCGTATAGTTTAAACGATTTACTCATTGTTGTTGTTGTTGTTGTTGTTGCTTATCGTGATAGTTATTCTCACTGTTCATTAGTGGTTAAAAATACTTGGGAGACAAAAAAAAACACAAATCAATTTTCAAGTTTAGCAGAACTACAGTTATAAAAAAAAAATAATACTGTTATTTTTCCTATTTATCAGTAGAAAGTGTCTTTCTTCAGTTTTCCTGTAATCTATTCTTCTCCTTCTTCCTCTCATCATTAGTTTGTTGTTCATCTGAAAACCAATATATTTGTATCATATATTCGTTTGATTTCAAACAACTATTTGTTTGCTTTTTTCCAACATCATCGTCATCAATGTCTTTATTATCATTTTAATACAGAAAATGAATTGATAATGATCTTCCATTTCATTGGGTCAGCGGATCAGATCAGTGTAATGTTTTTGTGTATACAGTCCAGTTACTTTCTTGGATTAGATAGCTGGAATTGTAATTTTATTTTTTGGATAGACCAAGTTAATAAGGTTACTCAGACGTATGTGAAACTTAGAACAACACATACAAAGTGAATAAATATGATTGTTTTCAATTACATCGTCATCAGACTCTACTCTAATATACATGACTATGTATATGAAAATATTAAATCAGTCAAGGTAATTAATTTATGAGTGAATGAGCACAATGAATTCGATTGTATAATTACGCATGATAGGCAAGCAGTATAAGTTTATAGTAGTAAGAAGATTAGTGTAGTAGTACTAGTAGTAGTAGTAGTAGTCATAGTAGTAATAGTAATGATATGAATGAATGATGAAAGTTCTGATCAATAATTCAACACGGAAAGTAGCCTAAACTTGGATAAATAGAGCTAAAATATTATTAGGATTATGCGATAATAAAAGTTTAAATAACTAGATAGTGTAGCGTACAGACGGGCAGATGTGAAAAACGACCAACAAACACGGGATTTCAAAGATCTGGTCCTGCTGCTTTGCTTCTTTTGATTTCTCTGATGATTATACTGATCTCTTCAATTGTTGGTGGGCCAACATCGATTGGGAGTCGCGTGAATGTCGCGTCGATGTTGGGTGGTTTCAGTGTGGGTGATCGACTCAAAAATTCCTTCAAGTGCTCTACCCATCTATTTCGCTGTTCAGTGTTGGTTACTGATTTGCCTTCCTTGCTTTACACTGGTCGTTCTGGTTTACGACAGTTTCCGGCGAGCTTCTTTGTTGTATCGTACAACTGTCTCAAGTTTCCTTCTCTTGCAGCCTTTTCCGCCGTCGTTGCTAGATCTTCCACATAGTTCTGTTTATCGGCTCTGATGCTATCTATTCTTCACTTACCTCATTGCTTCTATGTATTCAGCTCGCGCCTTGACCTTCTCTGCTCTTGTTCGTCTGATGTTGATTCCTGACTTCTTGTTCAGTCTTTCTTCTATTTTGTAAGAGTAACAACAGAGATGCATTCCTTGTGATGGTGCCTCTTGTGGCCCAGAACCTCCTGACATGTTGACGTGATTGTGTCCTTGATCCCCTTTCAGTTGTTCTCCATGGTTGTTTCTTCTCCACTGAGTACATTGTGCAAGGCCTGGAACCTATTTCTGGGAGTTATCTTGAATTGGTTGAGATTTTCATTATCCCGAAGAAAGGTCGTGCTACACTTCTGTGATGTTTTCCCGCCCCGTTGTCCAGTGCTTCTTGAGTTTCAGTTTCGTCTCGACAACTAGTAAGTGATGATCTGACGCTGTATCACCCCCTCTGTTATTTCTCACGTCCTCCATCGTCATGTTGAACTTCTTAGCGATACAGATATGGTCGATTTGGTTCTGAGTAGTGTGATCCGGTGAAATCCATGTAGCTTAGTGTATGCGTTTGTGTTGGAATATCGTGCCACTAAGTCAGTCAGTCAGTAAGCTGCAACGTAGAAATTCGTACGTAAGTACATCAGTTCATGTTGCCGTACTACATTAGCACAGAGATGCAATTGTAGTGGATGCACCTGCGCCATTACAAACAAGTTCGAGCCATGTCATTCAAGGTCTCTAACCATCGATGACTTTCGTCTCGTGGACACCAACAAGGTAGCCTACATCTACCAACATGACTCAGTTCACTTGTCAGTGAATTCATGGATTTATGCCATGTTTTGGTCTGGCCGCCCCTAACTTTCTACCAATCTACCCCTACACCACAAAACAAAGCTCGTCGAGGCAGTCGGTGATCGGGCATAAGTAACACATGTCCCAACAACCTCAAGTGATCAAGATTCAACACCTCGTCTATTGACCTATCACCCTTACCTAGTACTCGTTTCCTAACGACAGCATTGCTTACTCCGCTGTCCCAGGGTACACGAGGAATAATTCTAAGACATCTATGATCAAATACTAGTGACCTACGAATATCTCCTATTCTTACCGGCAATGTTTCACAACCATATAGGAGAACAGAGCGAACTACTGAGCAGTACACTCGCCAATTTAGTCAGGAAACGGATATCCCGCGTACGCCATAAATCACGTAAATTGGAGGAAAGCCAATCGAGCCTTCTGTATCCGAGATGAGATTCCGTCAGTTACCAGGCCATCAGGAATGACGAGACTCCCGAGATAAGCGAAGCGGTCGACACGATCAGCTGCTTCACTACCTATCACTAGTTTATGTGCCGATGCAACCCAATCTAGAAGCAACATTTTGCATTTCGAGGGTGAGAAACTCATACCGAACATGCTTGCATTGTTGCTTAGGGTAGTCAGAAGGCACTGCATTTTCTCAGCGTCTTCACCGAAGAGAACTATGTCATCGGCATATTCTAAGTCAGTAAGCAATCCTCCGAGTAGAACGTCCACCCCTAAAAAATCTGACGATGATAATTTTAAATCTAAAAGGATGTCTACAACTAAGTTTAACAAGAGTGGAGACAGTGGACAGCCCTGACGAACACCACTTGAAGTAAAGAATTCCGATGACAAATCACCATAGGCTCTCACTGGACCAGTAGTGTTCGAGTAGAGAGATTTTATAAGGTAATGTACTTCTTTGGTACACCATTTAATGACAGACACTGACACAGAACCTCACGACCAACAGATTCAAATGCCGCCTGAAGGTCCAGGAAGATAACTATTGTAGGACGACTTAATGTGTGTCTGTGTTGCAAGACCTGTCGTAGTGTGAATATGTGGTCTATATAACCACGTCCAGGTGGAAAACCAGCCTGGTTCTCTCGAGTCTGCTCTTCACGAGCTCTACTTATGCGTCCAAGTATAATCGAGGCTGGCAATTTAGAAGCTATATTAGTTAGACTTATTCCCCAGTGATTGTCACAAGAAGACTTTTGTCCTTTATAAATTGGCACATTCAGTGATTGAGACCAGTCAGATGGGATTACGTCCAGTTCCCAGATTCTACCTGAGATCTCAGTCAATCTAGCTGCTAAAACCGGACCACCATCCTTAAATATCTCAGGGGTCAGTCTATCAGGACCTGCAGCTCGTCCTCGCTTCAGATTTCCTAACGCTTTCTCAACTTCATAAAGACTAGGACGACTTATATCGATTTGCTATTCAAGACGACTGGGGATCGTGGGCAACCGAAATGTGGCTGAGGGCCAGCTGAACTGATCCCTGAATCGTTCTGCTCGTCGATCCAATCTCCTTGATTGAGAATGAATGATACAACCAACCTTTTCTGCGATAGTTCCGCTAACAGATGGATTTCTAATACCGGTTTCCTTGATAAAGCGGAAAATTTGTCTACTATTGCCGCTGCCTTTTCATCTCTCTCGCTTTCGCCACCCACCACTGTTCGCGGTCGTTGCGTAGGCTTTTATCAGCCTGCGCTTAAGCTGACTTCGCTCGTCATAATTTTTACAGCCACGTGGGGTACGAGCAACCATCAGTTCGATAGATGCTATTGAGATCCACGGCTTCTTCCTAGCCATATGGTTTACCTTACTAGAAGATATCGCTGTTGTTTCCAAAGCCTTTTTGATGTCATATCAAGCTGCCTCAGGGTGGGCATCACTTACTAAATGGACGCATAACTATATCTCTAGTTGTTCCTGAAACACATTCATAGCTCTGCTATCATTACGTAGAACCCTAAGAGGTTTCCTTACGGTATCTTTCCAACGTCCAGTAACCGCAAACAAATACGCGCTCACACTAAAGTATGATCTGAATCTAGACATATGCCCAAGAACGAGCGACAGTCCTCTATCGAACCTTTTCATCGGTGGGTGATGGCAACGTGATCTAGTTGGGTCCAGGGTTGAGACGACTTTGAGGGTCGCCAGGTCGAGATGATTTTCCTTATGCTTAAAGTTAGTATTTACTAGCATAGTTGGAACAGACGGTCACCATTGTCAGTTCTCTGAGCCGCGACACCATAACATCCACCCATGTGTCTTTCCTTTTGACTCAGTCTACCTAACTGAGCATTGAAGTCACCAGCCATTATTACTATATCTGAGTGCTTAACTTTTTGGAGGAGGTCCGAAAGGTTTCTGTAAAACTCATTTTTCACATCGTCTGAACTGCAGTCAGTGGGGGCGTAGGAAGATCGACGAAGAGGCAACGGCGAGTGATCCTATAATTCCGAGTCCTTACTGTCCCGTTCAGTCGGACAGCGCACAAACGACTATCTACTGAGATCTAGTCTAGGAGAGCTAGTTCTGTCCTACGACTCAATTCTATACCTACACCGGCGAGACCCCGGGAAGCAGCATCAGGGTTTCCAGATACACAAAGGGTGATTCGAGTGGTTTCTTTATCTTGAAATGACGAGGTCAAGTAAATATCACTACTCGGATCCTGTATGCGCGTTTCCGAGACGCAGCATAGATCTGTGCCACGGGATTCTATAGTCCTACCTAATGAAGCCTATTGCCCTATTTGACACAATGTCCGCACGTTAAATGCTACAACGTGTAATTTAAACCGGGGTTTCAGGAGACCAGGAATAACGTTTCGTGAACTCGTATCATTTGCAGTAGAGGTGCGGCGTGACAAAGGAATGTGAGAAGAGTCAGTCGTGAAGATAAGCGATATGTTAGGGGGTGCATGAAGGATTTGAATGTGACCAATTTGATCTCGCGTGATGTTACGGGTATGAGGGTGGCTGTCTAATTCCGGCTGCCTACACCGTTGAAGGGTGTTTCTTCAGGAACCTGGAAAGAAAGGTAGATTAGCGTTGGTCTTAGAGACCTGGGAGCATGACCGCAGTGCCCAAGGGACAACTGCGGCCTTTTTATGAAAGGGTTTCTGAATATTAGCTCCGCTCTTAAAAGACCTTACCAACGGAGACAGAAATCTGTGAGGTAATGTGATGTGTGATACTTTAGGGTCGACCTTTTCTAACTCCTTTCCTCCTTGTGAGAAGGCAGCATCACCGCAGATGCTGGTTTTCTGAGAGAAACACCTTAATGCTGTCACATCCCTCTGCATTCAGCTGTACGACTTCGCCCTCAGACCTTGGGTATCTGCTTTTAGTCTCATCGCTCTCCAATCGACCTGCCTGGCAT